AAACAAGGACTGGTCGGCTCGGAGTCAGTATACTGTGTCTGAGTGGGGTATTCATGTTAAACTGCGGCATGGTATCTCAGTGAGCTAGCACTATAAATCGGCATCAGTCCGGACTAGTACAAGCAGCCACACACACACACATACACGTGCATGCACGTCGCTATATAAGTGCAATAATCTTGGACGCGACGTTAAACCCAATTTCACCTCACCTCACATGGTGAAGACCTAGTCTACCCCGGATCTTTAGGAGTATCTCGGTGAGTGAGTGAGTGAGTATGGCTTTATGTCGCTTTTAGCAATATTCCAGCAATATCACGACGGGGGACACCAGAAATGTGCGTCACATATTGTATACCCATGTGGGGAATCGAACCCTGGTCATCGGCGTGACGAGCGAACGCTTTAACCAGGTGCACTGCCGTGTGCGACATACGCTTGCAGTCGGCAAGCGCACGTAAAATCCCCAACCTCAGTCAGTCTGACTGCCAGGTGTGTACATTTCACGCGTACCTTAATTGCAAAGTACCTGTCAAATATATTGTACTATATACCCACTTTTAACAAATGCATCATTGTATATAATTCATCTAAAAGACTTGTACCTCTGAGCGCAGATCGACATGTACCGTACGTGTGTACTCTTGCAAAATGTGAATCAACAGATAATTGGCGCATGCGCAGTGTTTCTAAACATGTTCAGGCTGGGAGTGACAACGTTGTAAAAATGTCGACTTCAATGGCAATTACTACGTTAAGGACAAACATATGACAGGTGCGTAGATTGATAGAAAACTCATTTCTAAGTTGATATGTATCGAAATTTCAATTAAGATGTATATTTTGGCGCTGTTAAACTATCAAAGGTAAATAGCAACCTAAATTCCCCACAGAAATCCCCATACATTTCAGAAGCTCTTACATTGTTCTCGGTCGACGCCGCTTCACGATCGTGGAGCTCCACTCATTGTTTTCGCAATGTATTAAACCCATTCAGAGACCGACCCTTACTTAGATCTTGTATGTGATATCATTAAGCTCAAATATCGTGTAACATTGTTTTGCAGTAGATTATGTATTTGCACTATACCAGTGCTGTGAAACTGCAAATATATTATCAGGATCATATGGCTTTGTTTCATGTTGAAATCTGTGGTTGCTATTTAGAAAACCTTGCTTCAACATTGGTCTTTTTGTATTTGAAAATATGTTAAAATCTGACATGGGACTGTCTTCAATACAACATTTCACCCTGATTAAGACACTGCTTTTTACTATCTACAAACTGAAAAAGTTGGAAGCAATAAGGTACTCTATAGGTACTCACCCAGTACTTAATCGACTTATGAATTCATTTTCACTGGAAGATACCAAAATACATCGCACCATTAGTAATAATGAAAAACAATTTGATCACAAAGGTGACACAATTTATAGATAACAACTTCTTTATTTTACTGCATTGGTGATATCGGTACAGAGCCTTATACTATTATAAGGGTAACGCTATTTTTCAGGGCATTATCATTTATAGAAGCCCGAGGTTTTCCATAACTGCCCGACGAAGGAGGGCTTCTGCAAATGATAATGCCCTGCAAAAGAGCGTTACCGTTAATATAGCTAAAATGGATGGAATTTATTATCAAATAAAAAGAAACAACATCGGTTTTGAAACATTTACTGCAATCAACACGAATGTCACTGACCACATTTTACAAATATGGAAACGTCATAGAACAAACTAGATGACGTCACTATAATACGTGACGTCATTTTCTCTACCCTATGACGTCACCTAACAACGGGCTTGATAATGGCCCGTCGTCAAGCAATATGAGGGTATTATCAAGTTACAGTGGCCCGCTCATTTCTGTTAACGTGCGGGCGGTTTAATGATAATTCTATCCATTTTAGCTATAATGTCAAGCAAAGCGGAATAATGAGTGAGTGAGTGAGTATTGTTTTACGCCGCTTTTAGCAATATTCCAGGACTATCACGGCGGGGGACACCAGAAATGGGGCTGAATAATGAACATGGTACAGAATATATATGGCATTGCATTGGGTAAGCGTTATTCACGGTGAAACAAAAGTGTTTTTATGAGAAACTGACATCTACAGAATCAATATTGGCTGTTAACATTGAAAACAAAAACCGTGTCGAAATACCATCGTCCCACCAAACACGCAAACATCCAAATTGTACTTCATGAATATGTATCTAAAGATGCGTTATTTAATTTCAGAAATTGTTTTTAATTTAACTTTATATGAAGCACAGTTACTTTTTCCCGTTAGTATACATTGGTATACAAGTATAAACAAGTTCCTATGAAGAAGTTCAAGGACTTTGACGCTGTAGGGAAGCAGATGATGAATATTGGCATGTACATTAACTGGTTCAGTGCGAGAATCTGACATGTTTTACCGGAAGGATAAATAATTAATCTACCTTCCCACAAACGCCGTTGAGGACGAGCAAATCCGCCTCGGCAGAGGTCTACGCCGTACCTGATGTCGTTTCATGCACTAGGCCGAAGTTACTTTCCCTTGCATGTGTTTGTGACGGGTGGGGCAGGAAACGCCTGTGTCGTCACGATTTGATAGTGATTCATAAATATCAATTGAAAATGCAAGAGAATAACCAGCCTAGATTTTCTGCCGAAACAGATTCCACTTGGCGTAAAGGCTAACAGTATTTATTGCCTGACGGAGCTTAGCAGTACACCTGCCATGCGTCAGCCTGGTAACAAACCAGACAATCAAGTGATCCATAAACCAGAAAATCCAGTGACACATGCTCATCAAAAAGTCGGAATCGTACAATCGACTCTGCTTTTGGCAGAGGTTTCTTATGAATATGGAAAGGGTTTTGTCGCTTTTATTTAATAAATATATACTTGTCATACTTGATAGGCACCATATCAGCCACATACTGAACTGCTACTGGCTTCGAGACAAACAGCTTTCCGGTCAGCTATGGCCACAGCGACCAGGGTGTCAGATTTGGTTTGGTTTGTTGTTTTACGCCGCACTCAGCAATATTCCAGCTATATGACGGTGGTCTGTAAATAATCGAGTATGGACCAGACAATCCAGTGATTTACATCATGAACATCGATCCACGCTATTGGGATCGATGACATGCATTAACCAAGTCAGCGACCCTGACCACCCGATCCCGTTAGTCGCCTTTTACGACAAGCATAGTCGCCTTTTACGGCAAGCATGGGTTGCTGAAGACCTATTCTACAATTGATATTTCCTCACACAATCACACACAAATCTGGAGCACAATAACTGCATGCGGGTGTACAATATTGTACAGGCTGTACTTTATTATCTACATCTAGATATATATACCACTCAAAAGAAGTTAAAGAACCCCCGATTCTTTGATATTTGATATACTGTTGTTAATCTGTTGATCGCATGTTCCTTAACTTCTTTTGAGAACTACATATTTGCCTTCATTATGCTTCTAGATTTTGTCAGCATCATTCGGTTGTTCGTGGGTTTCATCAAGTTGCAAACGCCCAAGACCCGCATCACTTACCGCTTTCCTCCCACAGCAACCTTATACAATCATAAAGAGTGAGTGAGTGAGTGAGTTGAGTTTAACGCCGCTTTTGACAGTATTCCAGTTATATCACGGCGTGTCAGCTTAATGTGGGAGGAAAACCCGAAGTGATGCAGGTCTCAGACGTTTACCACTTCGGTGAAACCCACGAGCACGAGTATGGTGCTGACAAACCAAGAAACAATCAGGGCGAACCGGGATTCGAACCCACAATCATAGGTTTCTGGCGTGCCCAAGGGACGCAACTCTGCACAGCGAATCGCTTCGCCTTAGCCCACTGGGCCCCCGTACCCGCCGACAGGGTTAGAAATAACCGAGTTCGTAAAATCGTATAAATACTCGTGCAAATATCACTTCATGCGCACCAGTGTATTGTTTACGTGATCAGGCGGCATTGTTGGCGTCATTCGAATCTTATTGTGACGTAAGGTCGGGATGACGTCACACTAGAAACGACGTCATTGCTGAAGAGTGTAAACGTTGTTCCAAATTGTCATGATCAGTGCATTACCCTACAGGGAGCTAAAAAAGATTAAGAATTAATGGGCAATATAGAAATTATTACACTCGCATGTGTGTCATACTGATTTCACGAAAATCGAAATTCGTGTAAGAATTCATGTATTATACCCTCGCTCTCGCTGAGGAAATGCAAGAATTCTGACACTGTAGATATCGAGGCAATGAAATTGTATCACAATGCTTTGCAGACCATTGTCATTGTTACATGACGTCACAATCTAATGACATCACTAATGGCTCTGTTACTGAAGCTGTTAGCAGTACTTTCTACACTTAAGACACTGCTTATTACTATCTACAAACTAAAAACTAAAAAAGTTGGAAGAATGATGTTAGATTATAAATAAAATCTCACCCTAGATTCTCTATTTTACTGTAAGCCTCAGAGGTTTTTTTCCACTTTTATCAACTCGTGTTGATATATTTAATATCAAAAGACACTCGGTGAGATTCTCTATTTTACTGCAATCATTCTTAGAAGTGTTGATCCAAAAACCTCTCATGTTTTAATAACATCTAATTACATTGATGAGACCTATACCTTCCAAACTATCAACATTTTAATATCAACCCATTAACAGTCATATCCTTTACACAATATACAAAAAAATATTATCTACCACTTCATTTGACATATCTGTAGAACGGCTGTTAATCGCTGTTCGGATCGTTGTCAGCACAGGTACACCAGTTTCCAAATTAAAATATGAGGTTTCTAATCTATAGTTAGACTACCTCTAAGTTCAAGTCACAGTAGCTTAATAGACCTCCCAACTATCCAATTTCTATCGGTTTCGTTGTCTTCACTACCGGGCCGTTTTAGCCAATGAAGGGTGGGGCTGTTTTAGCCTAGGTATATTAAGGCATGTGTGGTCGTATTCAAACGCGGAAGTAAATTAAGCGTTTTGATTGGTCCACGTGATCATATTGACAGACGAACGAATGACCGGATCTGTGATTAGTTTGATCAACTGCCTGAGGCGATTCACCAAGGCAATATTCTCGACGATACATACACAAGAAGGAAGGTGTGATCTGCACTGTGACGCACTGACAGTCCTCGCGTGATTGAATCTGTCCCCTTTTGCGGTATCTCGTGCACTGTCAGGTATGTTATGTCAAATTACCTGTGATCTACCTGTGATCTACCTGTGAAGCATATTCGGATTGTCTATAGCACCCACTTATAACAAATGCATCACTGCGTATCATTTCTCCGAATCTGTACGCTACTAGTAAGCATATCGACAAGTAAATGATCTTAGAAACCTGAGACATGTTCGTATACCGCTTTCTTACCGAATGTAAACATATAATTGGCGCATGCGCAGCGTTTGTATACAAGCTCAAGCTCTGGGTGACACGCTGTAAAGGTGTTCAAGGGGATTTACTGCATTAAGTACGCAGAACAAGCATGTGACAGGTGGGTTGAGGGATAGGAGAATCATTTCTGGTTTGATAGGTATCGAAATTTTAGATAAGATGTATTTTTTGGTGCTGTGAAACTAGCCGCGCATCTCGTTCCCCACAGACCTCTTATTCAGGGGCACGGTGACCCAGTCGTCTGAGGCGCCGCAATTCGCTGTTCAGAGTTGCGTCCCTTGGGCACGCCAGAAACCTATAACTGTGGGTTTGATTCCCGGTTCACCTCGATTATGTTTCTAGGTTTGTTAGCATCATTCCCATGCTCTTGGGTTTCACCAAAGTGGTAAATGTCTGAGACCTGCATCACTTCGGGCTTTCCTCCCATATGATGTGCTGTCATTTAACTGGAAAATGTTTCAAAGCAGCATTAAACAGAACTCTATAAAATAATCAAGTCTGCAAAATTTCATTTAATATTTCTCAATCACAGACATTTTTTGTCTCTGTTGAACTCAGTTCTTTGATACAGTTTATCATCCAAAACTGGCACCCACAGCAGATATTGCTTGGGTGAGATCAAGTGATATCTACATTATGAATATCACTGCAATGAAACTGCATCACAATGCTTTGCAAACCGTTGATGGGTTAACAAATTCATGTTTAACAATCAACCAAATCTGTCAATATTATGGAGTTATAAGACACATAGGGCTGAAGTCCCCAAATAGTTTAATTCCTGCAAATATCTAATTTTCCTTTTCTTCATGTTTCAGATAAAGAATGAGTGATTGATCAAAAGCTCTCAACAGATCAATTTTCTCATCAGAACCATTCACACCTCCATAATAGAATACACCCACGTAGTGTATAGAATACACCCATATAGTGTATAGAATACACCCATATAGTGTATAGAGTACACCCATATAGTGTATAGAGTACACCCATATAGTGTATAATATAGAATACACCCTCTGTGTAAAAGCATCAGGCTGCAATTTTACACTCCCCAGCATTAAACCATCACTTAGCAACCCCCACCTAAACTTTTACTGTTTCATTTCACCTAAATACAGTTACAGTGTCAATATTTATGTACTGACTTCATAATGTCTGGAAATATCTTCTGTATCACACTTGCAGTATCTGGAAGGTCAATTTGTAGAAATTGTAACAAGTATATTGAAAAGAAAACATTAAGAATTGGGAAAGATATTCCTAACCCATGTGACGATAACGACGAGGGCTGGGGTGATGTGACTCTATGGTACCACCCTGCCTGCATGTTCAAAGAGTTTGACCAGGAGAAGGCAAAGGAGAGGAAGATCAAGGCACCGGAGGATTTATTCGGATTTAAAGAACTAAAACAGGGTGAAAAGGACACCATTCTGGGATTCATTAATGGTGAGTCCTGTTGCATATCATACCATGCATACAGAGCTCCAGATAAGCTGCGTAAAATACACATAAAAAATGCAGAAATATGCAGTAAAATAAAATCCAAGCGTATCAAATACGCAATGAACATTACAGATTTGCTACAAAAATATAACTTGTGCGTCATGAAAATATTGTGAAGTAACCCTGCGTATTCGATTAGCAAATCAGCAACTTATTTTGAAATTATAAATGGACATTCCGTCTACCTTGCCAAACTCCACGATGACAGTTACATGATGATCATTTGCCATCACACTTTCTTGTGGAAGTATCATGGTATTTTTGAGTCCTATAAAGCTCTCGAACCCACACGACACCAGTTTGCAGGGACTAGATGAATAGTGTTTTTAAATATTTAACTTAAATACCCACATGTGTAAAAACTAGTGGGTAACCGAAATTTGACTACCCAGATAGAATTACTGATACCCAATGATTTTATAATGCTTATCTGGAGCTTTGATGCATAGTTCAAGACATCACTGGGAGATAACCATGGATGTGACCGCTGCATCGGTGGATCTCACTGTTAAACTTCTCGATGCAAGTATCGATCACAGTCGCACACTAGACGACTAAGCTTGACGTAAGAGGCGACTAACGGGATCGGGCGGTCAGGCTCGCTGACTTGGTTGATGCATGTCATCGACCCCAACTATGCTCGTCGTTAGAGGCGACTAATGGGATCGGGCGGTCAGGCTTGCTGACTTGGTTGATGCATGTCATCGACCCCAACTGGGGTAGAATAGATCTTCAGCAATCCATGCTTGTCGTAAAAGGCGACTATGCTTGCCGTAAGAGGCGACTAATGGGATCGGGTGGTCAGGCTCGCTGACTTGGTTGATGCATGTCATCGACCCCAACTGGGGTAGAATAGGTCTTCAGAAACCCATGCTTGTCGTAAAAGGTGACTATGCTCGTCGTTAGAGGCGACTAATGGGATCGGGCGGTCAGGCTCGCTGACTTGGTTGATGCATGTCATCGACCCCAACTGGGGTAGAATAGATCTTCAGCAATCCATGCTTGTCATAAAAGGCGACTATGCTTGTCGTAAGAGGCGACTAACGGGATTGGGTGGTCAGGCTCGCTGACTTGGTTGATGCTCATGTTGTCAATCACTGGGTTGTCTGGTCCTGACTCGATTATTTACAGACAGCCGTCATATAGCTGGAATATTGCTGAGTGCGGCGTTAAACAACAAACAAACAAACTAAAAAACATCATCAGTATGCCAGGTATTTGGTCGTCCTGACTGTGAAAAAAATTGCCCGGGAACCACAGATAAGAGCACAAGCAAGTATCATGATACGTATCAGATCGGGAGCAAAGTATTGTGATATGTATCAGATTGTACAGTTGGTGCATCGTCCTAGCCCAACATTCTACCGTGACAAAATAAACATCTACACTCTTTGGTTTTCCTTCCACATCAAGCTGACACGCTGTGATTTAGCTGAAGTCCTGTTCAGAGCGGCGTTTAGCCCAACACGTGCCAGGTCCTCCTACTAATTGACATACTCCCCTCACACTTGCAGATGCTAATATGAAGAGGGAGGACAACTCTCTCTGTCAGTTCCGTTCTCTCTGTACCAGGATATCTGAAGAAAAGAGCGGCGCTGGCAAGACCGCTGTTGTGTCTGACTACCTCAAGAATGGAAACAGTGGCAGTAAGTTGACACATCTCAACTCATTGTGACATGTCGGTTTTATTTATAGACAGATTATAGGCAGATTCCACCTCTTGTATCACTTGCGTTTGCTTCACACAAAATGGCGGCGTCCAGTCAGGACGATCTGATCGATAATCAAGATCTATATTGTGAAAAAACGGGTCTTACATCGCGAAATGCATCAAATCACGTGAGCACCTTGATTAAAAACATGAAAAGATTTGGAAAATATCTGCTGACAACGAGTTGGCGGTGCACATACTTTGTAAATCCTGCAATCAATCGAAATCTACACGACAGTTTACGAACCGGATTTCGATTTCGGTGCACAAATTTGATTGGACTACGCATAGACTCGTTAGTCCAGCCATAATGTAACTCCATAATACCAGCCTTGTTCGGCAAGGGTGGAAACTGGACTTTTATAGTCAGTTAACTCTCTTGCCTTGTGAAGATGCATGTTGAAGACCCGGGTACAATGTGTGAAGCCCATTTCTGGTGGCCCCTACCGTGATGTTGCTGAAATATTGCTGAAGGTGGCGTAAAACAATACTCCCTTACTCAATTCACACTTATCCACATATGATGCATGTCGCGAGGTAAGACCTGGTTTATTGCAATACAGATCTTGATTATCGATCAGATCATCTTGACTGGGCGCCGCCATTCTGTTTGAAGCAAATGCATGTGATATGAGAGATGGAATCTGATTAGTCAATAGAAGGGACGTAAAAGGGACATAGAAGGGACATAACTCATAACAGTGGTGCTACAATCAAACCACGAAATTCCAGCCTTGTTCGACAAGGGTGGAAACTGGATTTTTACAGTCAGTTAACTCCCTTGCCTCGCATCCTCTTTATATCCAGGGCTAGTATTTCGGTAATTATATTGGTAATCTGCGATTGTAAAAAACATGGAATGGACCCAGGGGTTAGTGTAGGTTTACTGAAATATAGAGAATGTTGCCTCCGGAAGATGGGTTTAACTCAGCTTCTACAGTATTGTTGTCATCGCTTTATATGAGGGGTCGTCGGGTAGCCTAGTGGTTAAAGCGTTCGCTTGTCACGCCGCAGACCCAGGGTTTGATTCCCAACATGGGTACAATGTGTGAAGCCCATTTCTGGTGTCCCCCGCCGAGATATTGCTGGAATATTGCTAAAAGCGGCATTAAACCATACTCACTCACTGACTCACTTTATATGGCTGTGATGATGTCAGTGTGATGTAAAAGTTCAACTTACAGTAAAGTTCCTAATAATATATGTTGGCATCGCTTTTTATGTGATGTCAGTGTGATGTAAAAGTTCAACTTACAGTAAAGTTCCAAATAATATATGTTGGCATCTCTTTTTATGTGACGTCAGTGTGATGTAAAAGTTCAAATTACAGTAAAGTTCCTAATAATACGTGTTGTCATCGCTGTGTATGTCTGTGATCTTTTTGATATGATGAAAACTCCACTCCAGTACAATTTGTGTCACTTCCAGCCGGCTTCAAGGGCGATGTCCACATGTTGATGAAGTGGCTGTTGCCAGGCGTTGTCAAGACCAGTTTTAATCTCGACGACAAACTACTTGTCAAGCTATTCAGTCAAGTTGGTACTTCTTTTTAGATGCGTTTGTTCCCTCTCCAGTTGATTTATCGTTTAAAAGTCAGACTCAACTTGACATAAAGTGGAAAAGTTTGTCAAATTTAGCACAAATTTAATTTAGATTTTATTACATTAATTATTTTAACTGAACATACAAAATGACTATTCCTAAGTATTACACTTCAATATCTTGTATGGGTGGCCCAGTCGTCTAAGGCGCAACGATTCACTGTGCAGAGTTGCGTACTTTGGGCTTCAACATATGATTGTGGGTTTGAATCCCGGTTTGCCCCGATTATGTTTCTAGGTTTGTCAGCACCATACCTGTCCTCGTGGGTTTCACCGAAGAGATAAACGTCTGAGACCTGTATCACTTCGGGCTTTCCTCCGACATTAAGCTGACACACCAAGATATAACTGAAATACTGTTGAAAGCAGCGTTAAACCCAACTCACTCACTCACTCACTGACATTTGTATGGGTCTTCATGGCTTGCAGTGCATGTATGGTACGTGTCGATGTATTTGTCACCACAACATGCAGCTTTTTTAGATGAGGGCCTGAAGAGTTTGGTCATGTTGTATTTTTCAAAACTTTAGGATCGTGAGTGAGTTGGGTTTTACGCCGCTTTTAACAGTATTCCAGTTATATCACGGCGTGTCAGCTTAATGTGGGAGGAAAGCCCGAAGTGATGCAGGTCTCTGACGTTTACCACTTCGGTGAAACCCGCGAGCACGGGTATGGTTCTGACAAACCTAGAAACATAATCGAGGCGAACTGGGATTCGAACCCACAATCATAGGTTTCTGGCGTGCCCAAGGGACGCAACTCTGCACAGCGAATCGTGGCGCCTTAGACGACTGGGCCACCCGTGCCCCCCTTTAGGATAGTGAAGCCAAGTAAATAAGAATAGTGTGTTTTAAGTGATGCTGTCAAATGTTCAATTGTGGCATTTTGGGGTATGCATTTCTGATCTTCATATTTCGCAGGGGGGATTTCAGTACCAGAAGATGTGTTATGTAAACAGTGTTGTAGATCAAAACAAATTAATATTTTGTTTGAATTTTTTATGATATTGAATTCAAGTAAATAAAGAAATTAAATAAATTGTATTCTTATTAATTTCTTAATGAAGCTGAAAATGGATGATAGTGTCATGTTTTTATATATTTTTTTGTGTGCAGATTTTTGGTACAAATCAGAAGGCGATGGAGGAGGATCTTGACCAGGTATGTTTAAGGTTTTGTCTTGTTTCAGCTTGTTCAATGATGGACAGAAAAGATGAGGTATAACAAGGGTCCTCTTTGAACCCCTGGAACTGTCAAATGTCAGGGGGCGGTCGGGTAGTCCAGTGGTTAAAGCGTTCGCTCGTCACGCCGAAGACCCGGGTTCGATTCCCGACATGGGTATAATGTGTGAAGCCCATTTCTGGTGTCCCCCGCCGTGATATTGCTGGAATATTGCTAAATGCGGCGTAAAACCATACTCACTCACTCACTCACTCAAATGTCAGAGTTACTGCTCACTTTGAAATATCGGTATCAAATTAGCAGACATGCTCAGTCTGTAAAGACTGATGAATGCCTTTTTTATTTCTTACATTTGCAAATGTTTTAATTGAGACATAAGAATGGCTAAAATAAGTGAAATAGGCTGCTTTTATATTTCTACTTCAAGAGAAAATCTAGATATGAACAAATCTGTGGCCCAAAATATACCATATGTTTGTATTGACTTTTATCATATAATGGGTGGGTTTCTCAGCAGGATAAAGCCAACGGTTTAAAATGGTTTAAATCTGTTGGGGTCAAATGCAGATAGAGATGCAAATATCAAAGGTCAAGTAGGGACTACTTTCACAGTTTATAAACAAACATGGTGTCGCCCTTGTCATTCGGCGATCAAGTCAGAATTAACCATCAGGAATCTCTAGAAACAATTGGGATAATGCTATCATTGTCAATATACTGTCTAATATACTGAAACTCAGTGTCTAACTGTGATGTAGCTAAGGCATTTTTCAAGTTTGGGCAATTTTGGAGATATAAATTGCAAAACAATTTTGCGAGAACACTATAGCCAAACGGGATCAGTTTTCATATCTGTGCTTGTACCTGCGGCGTGGAACCTTTTCATAACGTTATGACAGGACAAGCCAACTGTCAACAACGCCTGACTGGCTGTGACGTCTCATAGACTAGGGTTAGAGTTGCTTCCCTTTATTAAAGGGCAGTTACTCTATCGGACAGACCGATGGATTGCCACGAAAGGCAAGTAAAACAATTTGTGTAGGGGGGAGTTGTTGTTTTGCATATATGTAGTTATGCCACTGTATGAGAAACAGGTTTCAGTTGGAACTATTTTGGCTACTGTCATTGTCCGACTGACACATCACATACCCTCTGACTTGATATATATTAATGCACATGTAGCCGGGTGGTGGTGCTAACTCTGAATGAGTTATAGCCACATAAGTACCACCCACTTATAACCCCCTAGTATTCATTCTATACATATATACATACATATATACATGTTCATCTATTATCACTTCATTCTGTGTTCATTATATGTTGTCCTTGTCTGCAGTTGAATGTCAGCCAACTAACATCAACCCTGATACCCTTTTGCAGCCTCTGTGAGTTCTCCAGCTTCACCTGGACTTCCCCCTATCTATTTTTAGATATGCCCACCACTTCATGTGACTGAAGCATCTTGACTTCCTTTAATACCTATTCAGATGCTACCTTTCTTCTGATTGACCCTTTGGTCCACTTCTTTAAACTTCCTTTCTCACCTGCCCTCCTCATGCATTCTGCATGAACTCTTTATGGAGGGAGGACTCTTCTTTACAGGTGAGAAACATTTCAATATTCTTATCTCTTTCCATCCTGCTTTGGAAACAAATAAATTCATAGAAAGGGTATCACAGCTTTTCATTCAAGTAAAATATATTTAATTGCATTATTATTTAATTTGTTATATCTAAATATTTGCCAGCTCACACATTTTGTGTTACATTAATTGAGCACATGGTCTTCAACCATGTGCTTTAACCATGTGCAACCCAATGTATCCTTATAAATTAATCTGTTTCCTTTTTGGCTTAAATTAAGTTATAACAATTCTGCATGAACTCTTTATGGAGGGAGGACTCTTCTTTACAGCTTCCCTCCCACCATCTACTCCAAAGGAATAAACATCATCATCATCTTCAAGAACTGCCTCATGTTTTGACTAGCAGCCCAGTGGCTGGACACATCACACCACGCCCGGCTACAAAATGGCGCCCAACGTGGGGCTGAGCACGTTCATATCAAATTTGAGCAAAATAAGTCTCAGTACCCTACGATGCGGCCCGGGACGTGCCTTCTGTTGACGGGGAAGTATGTATCAGGGCGTGAAGTCATCCCACAGATGACTCCACACCCTGCTACACACACATTCCAGGAAAATGTTTAGGTAATGTTTGTGAGAGATGGTTTGTGGGATGTGTGAATAGAATTGAAGAATGACATTATATGATAAAGAGGTTATCACGCTTGTGTGTTTGGGGATGGTAAATGTCCTGTATTAGAAATAAACACTTCGTAATTAGCTTGCCAAGGCTCGTGATCACGTCTATTTATTGACATCTTCTGAATAACCAGCTTCAATATTAGAAAACCGTTTGCCCCCAAACTAAAAAAGATTAAGATAGGGGACATATTTTAGCATTATCTATACATTTAGTGTTGTTGTAGGACCAATGATGACTCACTATGAGATCAAAGGCGATGACTGTTCTTTATCCTGCAGTAATGTACACGTTTTGAGTTATGTCATAATGGCGTGATGTCACAATGCTGTTAAAACTACCTCCCATGTGAACTAACGTGTCCTTGCTTACACCGTTTTTTCAATAGTGTCAAGAATTGTCAAGCAAGATTGCACATCCACAACAATGATGGATCAGCGAAATATGAATCTTTACGCTTGTTGAATAATTGAATGTTATTACCTGGAAGAAATATGGCAAGATGATGTCAACCAGCTCTTCCAAACATTCGAACAGGACAGCAGCCACAAAGATGTCCAAGGCCCACGGAATTATGACTTTGTGTCTTTGGACACATGCGTGTGCAATCCTTGTAGCGAGGCACACCTGTTGCTCAGTGTTGTGCATGTATCAACATGCTGCAGTCGAACATAACGAAAGATGTTGCTCTTCCTCAGCTATGGACGACGCCATATCACGTTCCAGGCCCCCATTCACTTGGGTTGGAACTGTACTAACATCAAAGCACTTGTACGCAAGCATCCTTGTGCTTTAATTGTGATAGTTCAGGGCAAAACTATACTTTATTACAGTACAAAGGGTGGCAGAGCAAACTTTATTTCTTTATTGTTGGATATACAAAGTTAAGTTCTCTTTCATATGATTTTGTATCAATTAAAAAGATTTTGCTAATTTTTCAACTTATGCACATTATGCGGGCCAATGAGCGCCCTTTCTATACATATTTCGGAGATAAACCTGTTGTGTTTTGAAATTTGAGGTAGTCTATCTGTAGATAAGATACCTCTTATTTCAATTGGGAACCCAATCTCATTAAAATCAGACCTTAGTTCTTGCTACCGCTAAACAAAGATCCGAGGACATCCAATTACGGGTCACGTCAGATCGACCTTGCATGAACCTTGACCGACCAGTGGAATGACCAATCAGAAACCAGCTTTCTCGTGCTTTACGGCACAAATTTCAAATTGGCGACTACGCTTTAAAACATATTTTGACAAATTCTCGATTACAAATTTGAACCCTGAACAAAAGAACATTCTGGAATGGCTCATAGATGGTCTGGAATGTAAGGATTCAGTCGTTAAACCCGTAACTATCGTTCAGAATACACCAAGTTTTCGAGATTGCATGATTAGAAAGCACATTCCGACTGTCACTTTCATAATCTGGTAAGCGACGCACTGATTGGTTGGATGAAAGGTCATTCTGACGCGACCTCAAATGGGATGTCTTCAGATCTTGGTTTAGCGGTAGTGAGAACTAGGATCTGATTTTAATGAGATTGATTGGGAACCAAGGGCTTTAGCGTTCCTCAGTGTCATGGTAGAATTATATGTATATCTAAGTGTGTGTCCTGGTATGTGTGACTCTGTGTACAGTAAACTTTGTTTATAATCAACACGCTTAGAATGAACTGACCATATTACAAACTTATTTTTTAGTACCGGCCAGTTGTTGTATACATGCTGTATATATATATATATGTATAAAGTTAGTAGTTTGAGCTCGTTATAACCGTAGTTTACTGTATATTGTACACAGGTAACTCTACATGCTTAATGTGTGTTTGTACAGGGAGATGTGTCCAGGACAGTCAAGGTGTGTTTTGAGAAAAGCAAAAATGTGACACCATTGAAGGAGAGTATGGTGTCCTTGAGAGAGGTGTGTTTAATAATCTGTATATATAATTTCTATATCAGCCTATCATGTCGGGATCAGTATAGATATATTGCCCGAGTGCGTTACGAAGAGGGGTCGTGATATTGCCTCGTCTGCATGATAATGATGATAAACTAGATGTGAAAAGAACTGGTTTCCTTAGTCATGAATACAGAGGTTAATGTTGGTTGGTTGGTTGGTTTGTTGTTTAACGCCGTACTCAGCAATATTCCAGCTATATGACGGCGGTCTGTAAATAATCGAGTCTGGACCAGAAAATCCAGTGATTAATATCATGAGCATCAATCCACACAATTGGGATTGATGACATGCATCAACCAAGTCAGCGAGCCTGACCACCCGATTCCGTTAGTCGCCTTTTACGACAAGCATAGTCACCTTTTACGGCAAGCATGGGTTGCTGAAGACCTATTCTACCCTGGAATCTTCACGGGTCAGAGGCTAATGTGAGACATGGGACAGAAGGATTGGTCAATGTTTTTAGGTTAGATCATTAGTTGTCAGTTGCTAGCAGAATAGCAGTACGGCTTACCGACAACAATACCAACATATGTCCTGATAATAATAATACCGTATTCGACATAATAAGCGCACAGGGCGCTCTCAATATTAATAAATAAGGGTTCTTATTAGAATATAATTTTGGTGAGAAAAAAAACAGAGTTGGAGGAGTGTAAATTTTGTGGTTTATGCTGACAGCTTGAAATCATACAAAAGAAGAATCTGTGCGTATTATACACGACAGATATAATTTTTCAGAAATTGATTGCCCATAATTAAGGGTGCATATAACACACGAGTCTGTATTATACACGAATAAATAAGTCTTGTGTACATTGATCAATCGGAAGGGGTGCTAATTGGGATTGTTCACTAGCCAATACAGTAGCAAATATCGCCGTGGGTGCTTATTAGAGCGGGGTGCTTATTACATCGAATACGGTAATAATAATATGGTGTATGTTTATTATTCTCCGTGCTATGATGCAGTGTTTGACACTGGTCCAAGGGACCAGCACATAGAAAAGTCTACTGGTCCTGCTGGGTCTCTGCTTGACATAGTGGTCCTGGCCAAGAAAGGTTTTAAATCACAGAAATTTCATCATGTCCACCAACAAGTGAGCGTGCCTACTTGGAATGAGAACCAGTGAAGAAGGTGACTCCTGAACCACGCAGGGTTGTTTAGGTTCATGACTGTAGACGTCTTGTGTTTCAGATCAATGGCCTCCTCACTTCACTGTCTCAGTCTACCACGGAGGAAGGAATGCTCAAGATGCTGTCCAAAATTATCAAGAGGTGATTTGAGATATAGCATGCGAGGTATAGCCCCAAAGGTATCCCAGGGCAATCCTCAAAACTTTTATAGATTTTTTGATCAGACATCAAACTTTTGAACTGGTCCCTGAACAGACTCTTATTACACATTCACTAACCTTGATCCAACATTTACTGACCCATGATCCAACATTTACTGACCCATGATCCAACATTTACTGATCCATGATCCAACATTTACTGATGCATGATCCAAAATTTACTGACCCATGATCCAATATTTACTGATCCATGATCCAATATTTACTGACCCAAGATCCATTATTTACTGATGTATGATCCAACATTTACTGATCCATGACCCAATATTTACTGATCCATGATCCAATATTTACTGACCCAAGATCCATTATTTACTGATGTATGATCCAACATTTACTGATCCATGATCCAACATTTACTGACCCATGATCCAATATTTACTGATCCATGATCCAATATTTACTGATCCAAGATCCATTATTTACTGATGTATGATCCAACATTTACTGATCCATGATCCAATATTTACTGATCCAAGATCCATTATTTACTGATGTATGATCCAACATTTACTGATGCATGATCCAACATTTACTGACCCATGACCTAACATTTACTGATCCATGACCCAACATTTACTGACCCATGATCCAACATTTACTGATCCATGATCCAACATTTACTGATGCATGATCCAAAATTTACTGATCCATGATCCAATATTTACTGATCCATGATCCAATATTTACTGATCCATGATCCAACATTTACTGAACCAAGATCCATTATTTACTGATGTATGATCCAACATTTACTGATCCATGATCCAATATTTACTGACCCAAGATCCATTATTTACTGATGTATGATCCAACATTTACTGATCCATGACCCAATATTTACTGATCCATGATCCAATATTTACTGATCCAAGATCCATTATTTACTGATGTATGATCCAACATTTACTGATGCATGATCCAACATTTACTGACCCATGACCCAACATTTACTGATCCATGACCCAACATTTACTGACCCATGACCCAACATTTACTGATCCATGATCCAACATTTACTGATGCATGATCCAAAATTTGCTGATCCATGATCCAATATTTACTGATCCATGATCCAATATTTACTGATCCATGATCCAATATTTACTGACCCAAGATCCATTATTTACTGATGTATGATCCAACATTTACTGATCCATGATCCAATATTTACTGACCCAAGATCCATTATTTACTGATGTATGATCCAACATTTACTGATCCATGACCCAATATTTACTGATCCATGATCCAATATTTACTGATCCAAGATCCATTATTTACTGATGTATGATCCAACATTTACTGATCCATGATCCAATATTTACTGACCCATGATCCAATATTTACTGACCTATGATCCAACATTTACTGATGCATGATCCAACATTTACTCATCCATGATCCAACATTTACTGACCCATGATCCAACATTTACTGATCCATGATCCAACATTTACTGACCACCATGACCCAACATTTACTGATCCATGATCCAACATTTACTGACCCATGATCCAACATTTACTGATCCATGATCCAACATTTACTGATCCATGATCCAACATTTACTGACCCATGATCCAACATTTACTGACCTATGATCCAACATTTACTGATGCATGATCCAACATTTACTATCCATGACCCAACATTTACTGACCCATTATCCAATATTTACTGACCCATGATCCAACATTTACTGACCACCATGATCCAACATTTACTGATCCATGGCCCAACATTTACTGATCCATGATCCAACATTTACTGACCCATGATCCAACATTTACTGACCACCATGACCCAACATTTACTGATCCATGATCCAACATTTACTGACCCATGATCCAACATTTACTGATCCATGATCCAACATTTACTGATCCATGATCCAACATTTACTGACCCATGATCCAACATTTACTGATCCATGATCCAACATTTACTGACCCATGATCCAACATTTACTGATCCATGATCCAACATTTACTGATCCATGATCCAACATTTACTGACCCATGATCCAACATTTACTGACCACCAAGAGCCAACATTTACTGACTAGAATGATCCAACATTTATTGACTAGAATGATCCAACATGTACATTGGACAATGCCATGAAACAATTATCTTTCATCCTTTGAGGTTGAAGTTTGTCATGTGATGGGCTTGTTTGTTTCAGATGTACCAGTGATGGGCTTGTTTGTTTCAGATGTACCAGCGATGATCTGATGATGGTGGTTCGCGTCATCAAACACGACCTTGGCATCAACGCGAAGGAAAAACATCTGTAGGTTAATCATCCTTGATTGGGCAGTGTCTCATAGCTCCAGGCTATTATGGTATTCACCCTGGACACGTTCACAACCAAAGCTTCATTTCAAAAGTGACAACACCGTCTCCATGTTTCTTATCAACTTCGCTCAGAGTTACACATGAATTTGGGGACTGTGGTATAGCCTAGTGGTTGAAGCATTCGCTCTTAGCAGCGAAGGCTCTGGTGCAATTCCCCAAATGAGTACAAAGCGTGTAGCCCATTTCTTGTGTCCCCTTCCATGAGATTACTGCAATATTTCTAAAAGCGGCATAAAACCATACTTATAGCTAAAATGGATAGAATTATCATAAAACTGCCGGCATGTTATCAGAAATCAGCATGCCACTGTAACTTGATAATGCCCTCATATTGCTTGTCGACGGGCCACTATCAAGGCTGTTGTTAGGTGATGTCATAGGGTAGGGATAGGTGGCGTCAAGTTCATTAGTGACGTCATCTTCTTTGTTCTATGACGTTTCCATATTTGTAAAAGTTGGTCACTGACATTCGTGTTGATTGCAGTAAATGTTTCAAAACCGATATTGTTGTTTCTTTTTATTTGATAACAAATTCTATCCATTTTAGCTATAATAATGGTATCGCTATTTTTCAGGGCATTATCATTTGCAGAAGCCCTCGGTCTTTTCAACTTCACTCCTTTGTCGGGCAGTTAATGGAAGACCTCAGGCTTCTGCAAATGATAATGCCCTGAAAAATAGCGTTTCCCTTATATTACTCACTCTCCTGAATGAGAATATGTCCTAGTTCCACATCAGTAATTGAGACCTCAGCTGTATTAGTCCTCAATAGACTTACTCCAATCGGAAGCCTGAAAAAAACGAACCTTTAGCTGGAAAGTAATATTCCTGAACAGTGATGAGTATTAAGGTGGGAACACATTCCCAGTTCACTTTGAGACCTCCCACAATCTCATTAAAATCAGATCTTAGTTCTTGCTACCGCTAAACAAAGATCTGAAGACATTAGGGGTCATGTCAGAATGACCTTTCATCCGATCAATCAGAGCGTTGCTTACCAGATTATGAAAGAGACTGTTGGAATGTGATTTCTAATCATGCAAACTTTAACATGGGGTATTCCAAACGATAGTTACGGTTTTGACGACTGAATCCTTACAATCTAGACCATCTATTAGCCATTCCAGAATGTTTTTTTCGTTCAGGTTTCAAATTTGTAATCGAGAATTTGTCAAAATATGTTTCAAAGCGTAATCACCAATTTGAAGTTAGTGGCGTAAAGCACGAGAAAGCTGCCTTCTGATCGGTCAAAGTTCGCACAAGGTCAGTTTGACGTGCCCCGTAATTGGATGTCCTCAGATCTTTGTTTAGCGGTAGCAAGGTCTCATATAAATGAAATTGGACCTCCCACAGCAAGGGGAGTGAAGCGCTGGGGACACTGCTGCTTGTTTCAATCGTGAAAGAAACCGTTTAATTTCACTGGATGGCTATTTATGGCAGTTTAGAGCAGGGGTCCGGAAAATTTAAAATCCCAATCGGACATTTGCATTTAGGCCACGCCCCCTTCAAATAGCGTATTTAAGTACGACTTTTCACACACATTACAAGTTTACGTATTCATAATATAATGAATTATGAATTGTTTCAATTTAAATTGTTTAATTCACCGGACAATTAATAACAAATAATATCATTTTAGATTTACATGGAAAACATACGTTTTAGAGTCATCTTTATCTTTGATAACAGATTAAATGGCCTTCACCCAAATGCATATCAAGCCTTCCAGATTTCTGAGGACCTGAAGCATGTTGTGAAGAGGGTTCAAGCCAACACACTGGAGAGCATGCCAGGCTTGAAGGAGAAGAAGGTAAGAATCTGGGCCTCACCCTTGACTCCAATACTTCCCATGTTGTCAGTCTCCCATACTTCCCATGTTGTCTGTCTCCCATACTTCCCATGTTGTCTGTCTCCTGTACTTCCCATGTTGTCAGTCTCCCGTACTTCCCATGTTGTCAGTCTCCCATACTTCCCATGTTGTCAGTCTCCCGTACTTCCCATGTTGTCAGTCTCCCATACTTCCCATGTTGTCAGTCTCCCATACTTCCCATGTTGTCAGTCTCCCATACTTCCCATGTTGTCTGTCTCCTGTACTTCCCATGTTGTCAGTCTCCTGTACTTCCCATGTTGTCAGTCTCCCTGTACTTCCCATGTTGTCTGTCTCCTGTACTTCCCATGTTGTCAGTCTCCCGTACTTCCCATGTTGTCAGTCTCCTGTACTTCCCATGTTGTCAGTCTCCCATACTTCCCATGTTGTCTGTCTCCTGTACTTCCCATGTTGTCAGTCTCCCGTACTTCCCATGTTGTCAGTCTCCTGTACTTCCCATGTTGTCAGTCTCCCATACTTCCCATGTTGTCAGTCTCCCATACTTCCCATGTTGTCAGTCTCCCTTACTTCCCATGTTGTCAGTCTCCCATACTTCCCATGTTGTCAGTCTCCTGTACTTCCCATGTTGTCAGTCTCCTGTACTTCCCATGTTGTCTGTCTCCTGTACTTCCCATGTTGTCAGTCTCCCGTACTTCCCATGTTGTCAGTGTCCTATACTTCCCATGTTGTCAGTCTCCCGTACTTCCCATGTTGTCAGTGTCCTATACTTCCCATGTTGTCTGTCTCCTGTACTTCCCATGTTGTCTGTCTCCTGTACTTCCCATGTTGTCTGTCTCCTGTACTTCCCATGTTGTCAGTGTCCTATACTTCCCATCTTGTCAGTCTCCCATACTTCCCATGTTGTCTGTCTCCTGTACTTCCCATGTTGTCAGTCTCCCATACTTCCCATGTTGTCTGTCTCCTGTACTTCCCATGTTGTCTGTCTCCTGTACTTCCCATGTTGTCAGTCTCCCGTACTTCCCATGTTGTCAGTCTCCCATACTTCCCATGTTGTCTGTCTCCTGTACTTCCCATGTTGTCAGTCTCCCGTACTTCCCATGTTGTCAGTGTCCTATACTTCCCATGTTGTCAGTCTCCCATACTTCCCATGTTGTCTGTCTCCTGTACTTCCCATGTTGTCAGTCTCCCGTACTTCCCATGTTGTCTGTCTCCTGTACTTCCCATGTTGTCAGTCTCCCATACTTCCCATGTTGTCTGTCTCCCATACTTCCCATGTTGTCAGTCTCCCGTACTTCCCATGTTGTCAGTCTCCCATACTTCCCATGTTGTCAGTCTCCCATACTTCCCATGTTGTCAGTCTCCTGTACTTCCCATGTTGTCAGTCTCCCGTACTTCCCATGTTGTCAGTGTCCTATACTTCCCATGTTGTCAGTCTCCCGTACTTCCCATGTTGTCTGTCTCCTGTACTTCCCATGTTGTCAGTCTCCCGTACTTCCCATGTTGTCAGTCTCCCATACTTCCCATGTTGTCAGTCTCCCATACTTCCCATGTTGTCAGTCTCCCGTACTTCCCATGTTGTCTGTCTCCTGTACTTCCCATGTTGTCAGTCTCCCATACTTCCCATGTTGTCTGTCTCCTGTACTTCCCATGTTGTCAGTCTCCCGTACTTCCCATGTTGTCAGTGTCCTATACTTCCCATGTTGTCAGTCTCCCATACTTCCCATGTTGTCTGTCTCCTGTACTTCCCATGTTGTCAGTCTCCCGTACTTCCCATGTTGTCAGTCTCCCGTACTTCCCATGTTGTCAGTGTCCTATACTTCCCATGTTGTCAGTCTCCCATACTTCCCATGTTGTCAGTCTCCTGTACTTCCCATGTTGTCAGTCTCCCGTACTTCCCATGTTGTCAGTCTCCTGTACTTCCCATGTTGTCAGTCTAGTTTACTTCCCATCTTGTCAGCCTCCAGAACTTCCCATGTTGTCAGTCTCCCATTTCATGTGTCTGATGACTTTTGATCACTCACTCATTCACTCATGACTCACTCAGACAGGAAACGGCGACAGTGACGACAGTGACAGCATGGACGACCTGAAGAAGACACCGGTCAAGAGACCAGCAGGGGATGAGGGACTGACCACATCCGCCAAGAAGGTGACTTGACTACATACCATCTACTCCACTAACAATTTCAACCCAATTAACAGGATATTATTAGACCAATATGGTAGAGAGGCCTGAATGTTCTTCTAGCTGTGTGTGTAGCTGTAGTCTTTGTATCATATAGTTACAATTTGATTCAGTAGATGAACAAATCATGTTATAGAATACCTTCTCAGAAAATACAAGGTTTATGTTTCTCGCCGCACTCAGCAATATTCCAGCTGTATGACAGCGGTCAGTAAGTAATGGAGTCTGGACCAGAACGTCCAGTGATTGACATCATGAACTTCGATCCATGCAATTGGGATATGATGACATGCATCAACCAAGTCAGCGAGCCTGACCACCCAATCCCGTTAATAGCCTCTTACGACAAGCATAGTCGCCTTTTACGGCAAAGGCAAACATGGGTTGCTGAAGACCTATTCTACCCCGGATCTTCATGGTGCCTACATACATGTATACCAAGTTGTCTGGGAATAATTTGCTTCAGTGCTTACAAAATCACTGTAGTATCGATAACATTGAACCTTCTCTCTGGATGACAGTAGAACTCTGACAGAGGAGAAAATTATGTTGCAGCATACAAGAGATTTGCTGTGCGGTTTCTCTAAACTGATCCCACTGAGAAGTAATTCCTCATGTCCACAGAGAAGTAATTCCTCATGTCCACAGAGAAGTAATTCCCCATGTCCAGAGAGAAGTAATTCGCCATGTCCACAGAGAAGTAATTCCTCATGTCCACTGAGAAGTAATTCCTCATGTCCACAGAGAAGTAATTCCCCATGTCCACAGAGAAGTAATTCCCCATGTCCACAGAGAAGTAATTCCTCATGTCCACAGAGAAGTAATTCCCCATGTCCACAGAGAAGTAATTCCCCATGTCCACTGAGAAGTAATTCCTCATGTCCACAGAGAAGTAATTCCCCATGTCCACAGAGAAGTAATTCCCCATGTCCACAGAGAAGTAATTCCTCATGTCCACAGAGAGGTAATTCCCCATGTCCACAGAGAAGTAATTCCTCATGTCCACAGAGAAGTAATTCCTCATGTCCACAGAGAAGTAATTCCCCATGTCCACAAAGAAGTAATTCCTCATGTCCGATGTATTTCAGAGTAAACCAGAATGCAAGACGGCCCCAGCAGCCAGCCCCTCCAACGTATCGGCCAACATCTTCACAGGCTGCAAAATATTCCTGCCAGAAAACACTGACAGCTTCAAGGAGCTCAAGCAGTATATTATAGAGTATCCTTCACTTCAGTGTAGGGCGGTCGGGTAGCCTAGTGGTTTAAGCGTTAGCTCGTCACGCCGAAGACCCGGGTTCGATTCCCGACATGGGTACAATGTGTGAAGCCCATTTCTGGTGTCCCCCGCCGTGATATTGCTGGAATATTGCTAAAAGCGGCGTAAAACCAAACTCACTCACTCACTCACTTCAGTGTCAGTACTTCATTGGTTTGTATACACTGTGGCTCCATACCCTGACACTGTGGCTCCATACCCTGACACTGTGGCTCCATGCCTTGAGACTGTGGCTCCATGCCTTGACACTGTGGCTCCACACCCTGACACTGTGGCTCCACACCCTGACACTGTGACTCCACACCCTGACACTGTGGCTCCATGCCCTGACACTGTGGCTCCATGCCCTGACACCATGGCTCCATGCCTTGAGACTGTGGCTCCATACCCTGACACTGTGGCTCCACACCCTGACACTGTGACTCAATACCCTGATACTGGCTCCACACCTGCTGTGGCTCCATACCCTGACACTGTGGCTCCATATGCTGACACTGTGGCTCCATGTCCTGACACTTCGGCTCCACACCCTGACACTGTGGCTCCACACCCTGACACTGTGGCTCCATACGCTGACACTGTGGCTCAATGTCCTGACACTGTTGTTCCATACCCTGACACTGTGGCTTCTGAACCTGACACTGTGGCTCCACATCCTGATACTGTGGCTTCATGCCCTGACACTGTGTCTCCTCACCCTGACACTGGCTCCACACCCTGACACTGTGTCTCCTCACCCTGACACTGTAACTCCACATCCTGACACTGTGGTTCAATACCCTGACACTGTGGCTTCTGAACCTGACACTGTGGCTCCACATCCTGATACAGTGGCTTCATACCCTGACACTGTGGCTCCACACCCTGACAGTGTGGCTCCACGCCCAGACACTGTGGTTACACGCCCTGACACTGTGGTTCAATACCCTGACACTGTGGTTACACGCCCTGACACTGTGGTTCAATACCCTGACACTGTGTCTTCTGAACCTAACACTGTGGCTCCACATCCTGATACTGTGGCTCCACATCCTGATACTGTGGCTTCATGCCCTGACACTGTGGCTCCTCACCCTGACACTGTGGCTCTACATCCTGATACTGTGGCTCCACGCCCTGACACTGTGGCTCCACACCCTGACAGTGTGGCTCCACACCCTGACACTGTGGTTACACGCCCTGACACTGTGGTTCAATACCCTGACACTGTGTCTTCTGAACCTAACACTGTGGCTCCACATCCTGATACTGTGGCTTCATACCCTGACACTGTGCCTCCATGCTCTTACACTGTGGCTCCACGCCCTGACAGTGTGGCTCCACACCCTGACACTGTGGCTTCTGAACCTGACACTGCGGCTCCACACCCTGACACTGTGGCTTCTGAACCTGACACTGCGGCTCCACACCCTGACACTGTGGCTCCACATCCTGATACTGTGGCTTCATACCCTGACACAGTGGCTCCATGCTCTTACACTGTGGCTCCACACCCTGACACTGTGGCTTCTGAACCTGACACTGCGGCTCCACACCCTGACACTGTGGCTCCACATCCTGATACTGTGGCTTCATACCCTGACACAGTGGCTCCATGCTCTTACACTGTGGCTCCACACCCTGACACTGTGGCTCCATGCCCAGACACTGTGGCTCCACACCCTGACACTGTGGCTCCATACCCTGACACTCTTGCTCCACACCCTGACACTGTGGCTCCATGCTCTTACACTGTGGCTCCTCACCCTGACACTGTGGCTTCATACCCTGACACTGTGCCTCCATGCTCTTACACTGTGGCTCCACGCCCTGACAGTGTGGCTCCACACCCTGACACTGTGCCTCCACATCCTGACACTGTGGCTTCTGAACCTGACACTGCGGCTCCACACCCTGACACTGTGGCTTCTGAACCTGACACTGCGGCTCCACACCCTGACACTGTGGCTCCACATCCTGATACTGTGGCTTCATACCCTGACACAGTGGCTCCACGCCCTGACAGTGTGGCTCCACGACCTGACACTGTGGCTCCACGCCCTGACACTGTGGTTCAATACCCTGACACTGTGGCTTCTGAACCTAACACTGTGGCTCCACATCCTGATACTGTGGCTTCATACCCTGACACAGTGGCTCCATGCTCTTACACTCTGGCTCCACGCCCTGACAGTGTGGCTCCACACCCTGACACTGTGGCTCCACGCCCTGACACTGTGGTTCAATACCCTGACACTGTGGCTTCTGAACCTAACACTGTGGCTCCACATCCTGATACTGTGGCTTCATGCCCTGACACTGTGGCTTCATGCCCTGACACTGTGGCTCCACACCCTGACACTGTGGCTCCACATTCTGATAATGTGGCTTCATGCCCTGACACTGTGGCTCCATACCCTGTCACTGTGGCTCCACATCCTGATACAGTGGCTTCATACCCTGACACAGTGGCTCCATGCTCTTACACTGTGGCTCCACACCCTGACACTATGGCTCCACGCCCAGACACTGTGCCTCCACACCCTGACACTGTGGCTCCACACCCTGACACTGTTGCTCCATGCTCTTACACTGTGGCTCCACGCCCTGACACTGTGGCTCCACGCCCTGACACTGTGGCTCCATGCTCTTACACTGTGGCTCCACACCCTGACACTGTGGCTCCACGCCCTGACACTGTGGCTCCACGCCCTGACACTGTGTCTCCTCACCCTGACACTGTGGCTCCACGCCCTGACACTGTGGTTCAATACCCTGACACTGTGGCTTCTGAACCTAACACTGTGGCTCCACATCCTGATACTGTGGCTTCATACCCTGACACAATGGCTCCATGCTCTTACACTGTGGCTCCACACCCTGACACTGTGGCTCCACACCCTGACACTGTGGCTCCACACTCTGACACTGTGGCTCCACACCCTGACACTGTGGCTCCTCATCCTGACACTGTGGCTTCTGAACCTGACACTGTGGCTCACATCCTGATACTGTGGCTTCATACCCTGACACTGTGGCTCCACACCCTGACACTGTGGCTCCTCACCCTGACACTGTGGCTTCTGAACCTGACACTGTGGCTCACATCCTGATACTGTGGCTTCATACCCTGACACTGTGGCTCCATGCTCTTACACTGTGGCTCCACACCCTGACACTGTGGCTCCACACCCTGACACTGTGGCTCCACACTCTGACACTGTGGCTCCACACCCTGACACTGTGGCTCCATGCTCGTACACTCTGGCTCCACGCCCTGACACTGTGGCTCCATGCCCTGACACTGTGGCTCCATGTCCTGACACTGTGGCTCCATACCCTGACACTGTGGCTGCATGTCCTGACACTGTGGCTCCATACCCTGACACTGTGGCTCCACACCCTGACACTGTGGCTCCATACCCTGACACTCTGGCTCCACACCCTGACACTGTGGCTCCATACCCTGACACTCTGGCTCCACACCCTGACACTGTGGCTCCACACCCTGACACTGTGGCTCCACACCCTGACACAGTGGCTCCATTCTCTTACACTGTGGCTCCACACCCTGACACTGTGGCTCCATGCCTTGAGACTGTGGCTCCACACCCTGACACTGTGGCTCCACACCCTGACACAGTGGCTCCATTCTCTTACACTGTGGCTCCACACCCTGACACTGTGGCTCCATACCCTGACACTGTGGCTCCATACCCTGACACTGTGGCTCCATGCCCTGACACTGTGGCTCCATACCCTGACACTGTGGCTCCACACCCTGACACAGTGGCTCCATGCCCTGACACTGTGGCTCCATACCCTGACACTGTGGCTCCACACCCTGACACTGTGGCTCCACACCCTGACACTGTGGCTCCACACCCTGACACTGTGGCTCCACGCCCTGACACTGTGGCTCCACGCCCTGACACTGTGGCTCCATATTGACAATCCCAGACTTCTATTCCATGAATATCGTTTAAAAGCTGCCATGTTCTTGTCCTTAACTGTTGTCAGTTTTGACGGTGAAGTGTTGTCCGAGGCCAGCAAGAGATCAGCTACACATATTGTGTCTTCTAAAGGAAAGGTGAGTCAGTGTTTCAAGACCAGCATTTGTACCTGGACTAGTTTAATGGACATAATCATTGTGCAATAAATCCATTGCAGAATCTTTGTACACAAGAAAACTGGGATTAGTTATAGTAGTGAGAGCTTTTGTACTGTAGTATAATTGAAGAAAAATCTTCAAGACTGTAGCTCACCTGAAGTAATCATATGTGCAGCTCTAGCAATTTATAGAGGCTATAGCTTCAGAAGAGATGTCCAAAGTGTGGACATTAATAACTGACAGACGATGGGGCGACGACAACATAGTATGACATTAACTAGCTTGACTTTCAGTCAGGTGAGTTAAGATATTTGTGTTTCATCAGTTGTGACAGTGAGAGAAAATTTATATAACTACTACACATGCAGAAACCATAAGGCTGAAATCCATGGCATTGTAAGCGTGAAATATTTATATGTCATTGTTCTTGTTATTGATCATTGGTTTGTCTGGCCAAGCATAAACACTATTCACTCACAATACTTGGGGGGGGGGGGGGGGGGGGGTTGCAGTTGTCCAGAAACCTATGATTGTGGGTTCGAATCCCGGTTCGACCTGATTATTTCTAGGTTTGTCAGCACCATACCCATGCTCGTGGGTTTCACCGAAGTGGTAAACGTCTGAGACCTGCATCACTTCGGGCTTTGCTCCCACATTAAGCTGACACACCGTGAAATAACTGGAATAATGTTAAAAGCAGTGTTAAACCCAACTCCCTCACTCACATTACTTAGCCACAATAAAGATAGTTACATGTGGTGTGATGACTTGAGATTAATGAGAATGTCCCCCACCTCTCATCCCTTGGGTTTCCATTCCAGATGAGCACAGCGAGTGGCAAGGTCAAGGTCGTGACCCCTGATTGGCTGTGGCACTCGATCAAGAAGAAACAGCTTGCATCCACTGAAGAGTACAAGCCCTGACCATGCACATTCAGACTTTTATCATGTTTTACATATAACGAATCTTAATAATACATGTGTTGGCCCTGACCATGCACATTCAGACTTTTATCATGTTTTACATATAACAAATCTTAATAATACATGTGTTGGCCCTGACCATGCACATTCAGACTTTTATCATGTTTTACATATAACAAATCTTAATAATACATGTGTTGGCCAGAGCTTATTCAGTTGACACATGCAGTGGCTTCAAAGGTCACAATATTGCTAAATAATACTCACCCGATGAAGATACCACTGTTTAATAACAATAAGCTGGTATTACACAGTGTTTAATACCAACACACATGCTTATGTACTGCGGGAACGAGTTTCACCATAAAATCTATTTTATGGTCTTTTGTTTCACTAACGAACATTAAAAACTCTTAACATACCTGTACTTATTCAATGACATTGCACCGCCTCAGTTGTCTAGTGGTAGAGCGTCCGCCCGGAGAGCGGAAGGTCCGGGGTTCAATCCCCGGCCGCGTCATACCAAAAGACGTTAAAAGATGGTACTTGTTACCCTGTCTGGCCCTCCGGGGCTAAAACAAGGACTGGTCGGCTCGGAGTCAGTATACTGTGTCTGAGTGGGGTATTCATGTTAAACTGCGGCATGGTATCTCATTGAGCTAGCACTATAAATCGGCTTCAGTAAGGACTAGTACAAGCAGCCACACAAACACACACACGTACATGCACGTCGCTATATAAGTGCAATAATCTTGGACACGACGTTAAACCCAATTTCACCTCACCTCAATGACATTGCTGGTACAGATGATAGGTCATTGAGAAGAGCTCCTGCACACTCAATGACCCCAGCCAAGTTGCTGGGCTTACGTCCACAAATTACATCATTGGGCATTGGGGGGGCACGTATGAGGCGCCGCGATTCGCTGTGCAGAGTTGCGTCCCTCGGTCACGCCAGAAACCTATGATTATGGGTTCGAATCCCAGTTCCCCCGATAATGTTTCTAGGTTTGTCAGCACCATACCCGTGCTCGTGGGTTTCACCGAAGTGGTAAATGTCCGAGACCTGCATCACTTTGGGCTTTCCTCCCACATTAAGCTGACAACGCCGCGATTAACTTGAATACTTTTAAAAGCGGCGTTAAACCCAACCTCACTCACAATGAGACATAGATCTGATATATATATGTTCCATTTTTCACAATATTTTACATTTTGACCTTCATTCAAAGTGTTAGTTAATATTGTAATGAAATGTGTTTTTGTGTAGCTAGTGGTGTGGCCCAACACACATACATTTGTCTTTTGCAATATTGTACATTTCGACCTTTATTTGACTTAAAGCCATTACGCAGACAATTTCGTTAAAATTGTAATGACATTTGGTTTTGTGTAGTTAGCAGTGGGGCTTAACGTCTGTCTGTCTGTCTATACTCAATGCCAAAAGAAATGCAAACCATGGAAACATATAGAGAAGTATGTACTTTAAGAGATGTTTCCAATGTGTACCAATTAATGACAAAACTAACAATCAGTCAAGTGCTACCACAGAGTGACATATTTTCTTATCACGATATTCTGAACATGATTTTGCCAACTTTACACGCTAATCCTGCACGAGACGAATGGGGCATCTCAAGTCATGGATCTCTGACATCACGTGTGATGTGTTCTTGAGCATCGGTTCACACAACACACCAGTACATGTATTTTCGTTTTAGCATTGGTCCAATCTAATGAATATGACCAAGTCTTCATATATAAACCAACATATATGGTGTTGATGTTTCTTTTGGTGGTGAGTATATGTACAAAATGTTCCCTTTTTCACAGTATTTGACATTTTGACCTTTATTTGACCTTTGCCGTTTGAGTGAGTGAGTGAGTATGGTTTTAAGCCGCTTTAGCAATATTCCATCAATATCACGGACGTGATACCACATATTTTCCAACTTGCATTTAGCCACATGACACAGAGGAAATTTACCCCCCAAGTCTGATTGCAAAAGTTTTTCTCTCTTTGTTCAAACCGTATTTCTGCATTTGTAACAGAGATTTTTTTTTTTTCAACGTACAACATATTTCACGGTTTTCTTGTTTTCCCCTTTGATAATATGTAGATGTTCCTAACCTTAACTACCGCCTCCGTGGTGCAGTGGTTAGAGTGTCTGCCCACAGAACTGAAGGGCATTGGTTCAGTTCTCTGGATCCGTCCTACAAATAGAGGTACTTCTTGTTTCCCTGCCTGGCACTTTGCAATAAGGGGCTAAAACAAGGACTGGCGGCTCGGAGTCAGTATAATGTATCTGAGTGGGATGTCTATGTTAAACTGTGTCATGGAGTGTAGCACTATAAAAATGGACTAGAACAAGCAGCCACACACCAACCAAGAGTGAAATAATCTTGAACGTGACATTGGGCACGCCAGAAACCTGTGACTGTGTGTTCAAATCCCAGCTCGCCCCGATTATGTTTCCAGGTTTGTCAGCACCATACCCGTGCTCGTGGGTTTCACCGAAGTGGTAAAAGTCTACATGAGACCCGCATCACTTCGGGCTTTCCTCCCACATTAAGCTGACACGCCGCGATATAACTGTAATACTGTTAAAAGCGGCGTTAAACCCAACTCACTCACTCACTCACTGAAGGTGACATTAAACCCAATTTCATCTCATCTCATAATTGTCCAAAGGGAACGGTCAGTAAGACTTACTGGAATTTCACGACTCTGTCAGAATGTTATGTCATTCTCCACAATAAACAAATCAATACTCTCAAAGGAATCTCTTTTAATGCATAATAGCCATTATGTATGGCAACTACTCAACCATTTTTGTTCCAAATGTAATGAAATTTGGTATATGTATAGTTATTAGTGGGACTCAGCACATAGGTTCCATTTTGTTGTCTTGTGATCTGTGAATGATGTGCATAGATATTTTGAGAAATTGAGGTGAAGTTTGATTTTCAAGAAGTTTTCATCAAATACACAGCAGTTCGATCTTGCTTAATATCAGGTGGAGAATATTATACTACATTCTAACAACAAGGTAGAAAAACTTACACCCCTTTATTAACAAAATAGCTACACATTGCCTATGTAGACAGACTTACCCAAACTGCTATGATCTAACTACTAGAAAAAAATGTGTCAACAAAAATTTAAGAACCTTGCACAAAAAAACAGGAAGTGTCAGAATCGACAGCAATATAATATGAAATGTGAACAAGAATTGGGCAAATTCATCTAAAACACAATAAATAATAAAATTTGCACAACATCCTGTCATGTGACGATCACATGACAGGATACAACTGATCTATTTTTAACTTTAGTATGTGACTACAGACACAATGAAAACACATAATCAACTGGAAATCAGAAAAAATGAGCTCCAAACACATCGATTCGAACCTGTACTATGACATTCCAAACTTATTCGATTATTGTGGCCATTTTGTCACATATTGCAAAAAATCGAAGATGGATTTTCAAAGTGTGTCAGTGAGCCTTCAGATGAAGCTGATGAAATATATTCTCAGTAATAAAGGAATTTTGATCAACTGATGTTGGTATATTTGATATCAAAGACACTCAGGTGAGATATTTTTTAATAAAACATTTCGAGGTTTTTCATGTATTAACGTCCCATACCATTACATATAGTTTAAGTAAGAGGTGGTCGAGTGTCGAGGCTTGGTCACCTGGTTGATGCGTGTCATCTTATTCCTATTGCGGTGATTGATGCTCATGATATCAATCACTGGATTGTCTGTAATCAGTGCTAGCTAATTTGGTCATTGACTATTTCATGAAAATCCATTTGTGCAGTTCATGACATGATCTACTTAATTGTTTTCAAATAGGGCTGGGACCAGTCCAGATGTACTACCTGGGTACCCACCCCCCCATTACCCGACCCTACCCGGGTACCCACTGTAGGTCTCAGATGTCTCAAAATGTCTGATTGGGATTTCTTTTTTCCACAGCAGTTGGAAAACATAGTTAGATACATGTATTAAACGATCTGGTCATGCATACACTGAAGTTGACTTAAGTTATATCTTTATTTAACCATATGAACATCAGAATGAATGGGTTCATAGTCAGAAAGAAATGTGAACATAAGTGACGTGTAGTGTAACCATAGAGTTCTAGATAATTTTTGTCATTAAACAATTACCACGTGACTAACCATGGGTCCGGGTAGTCCGGGTAGTCCTGTGGGTAGTCCTGTGGGTAGTCCTGTGGGTACCAGGGTCCTACTCAGTACCCCCAGCCCTATTTTCAACCAGGAGAATGATTGAATCTGTTGTGCTTACGTTTCACACTCACAGTTTGATGTTTATTAAACTTTATTAACATTATTAATAAATATGTTGAGTATTTCTGTGTTGTTTCTTAAAGTCTCTACTTGACATGACATGTGAAACAGATCAGTAGCGGGTAAAACCGCCACGTGCCGGATGACCCATTCCACCCTACGTCTCCTGCCTCCAGTCAGAATAAGGAAAGACGACTGGACTCTAAACGTCCCAGATGTACTGAGCCCCTGTAAAGTTGCCCCTTATGGTGACCAAATCCAGAGAGATACACCCCCAAACCATTACTGAGTCCCTGCCGTATGCAATAGTCGGTTTAATGTTCCTGTGGGTGTAGGCCGTGTTCCGGTGCCTCCAAACTCTCGTTCTTCCATCAGTGATGTGGAGCAGAAAGTGACTTTCGTCTGACCAATGGATCCGTCTCCATGTTCTCAGATTCCTGTTCTGTCACGCAATACACCTGCTAAACGAGCAGCTTTGTTGTGATCTTTCAACAAGGGATGCTTAATAACTGGTCTAGCCCTCAGTCCTGCTGCTTTTAGCCAGTTTTGAAATGACGATTGGGCAACCACAACTGTTTCAGCCTAAAAAATTGAGGATGGAAGCACCATGTTAGCACAGAGAGGAGTATCTTATCAGAGTACAAGATCTGATTGTGTTCATTGCTGCATTCCGCAATATTCCAGCCATATGACAGCAATCTGTAAATAATCGAGTCTGGACCAGAAAATCAGAGAGCCTGACCACCTGATCCCGTAAGTCGCCTATTACAAGCATGGGTTGCTCCAGACAAATTCTAACCTGGATCTTCACGGGTCGATCTGATTGTACAAGATCCCAAATTGCACTGCCTCTGGTAGCAGTGAGATTGGTTTTATCCTGGAATATCAGCCGAGGTGAAAACAGAAATTTATGAAAGAAGCCAAGAATGCCATTATACAAAATCAATTTATTCAATGATATATGCAATTTCATATTGTTTGAACTATAGAAATTCACTCACTTAAGTTTCCATAAATGAAATGACAGTGATTCTTGGTCAGATTTGTATTACATGTTGGTTGCAATATTCCAGCTAAATGATGTCTGCCTGCAAAACTATTCAGGACCACCCAAACAGGTGATTGATGAACGATGTCCCACCCTGTGAGGATATGATGACATAATATCAACCGATCCTGACCACCTGATACACTTTGTTGCCTTTTACGACAAGCGTAGGTTGTGGTCCGTGTACGAGGGGATAACAGGCAAAGGATGCCACTCTGCACAGGGAGTAAGTGAGTGAGTGAGTGAGTATGGTTTTACGCTGCTTTTAGCATAATTCCAGCAATATCACGGCAGGGGGCACCAGAAATTAGCTTCACACATTGTACCCATGTTGGGAATTGAACCCGAGTGTTTGGTGTGATGAGCAAACGCTTTAACCACTAGGCTACCCGGCAGCCCCGACTCGGATCAAGAGTGAGTGAGTTGGGATTAACGCCACTTTTAACAGTATTCCAGTTATATCGCCACGTGTCAGCTTAATGTGGGAGAAAAGCCCAAAGTGGTGCAGGTCTCAGAGGTTTACCACTTCGGTGAAACCCACGAGCACGGGTATGGTGCCGACAAACCTAGAAACATAATCAGGGCGAACCGGGATTCGAACCCACAATCATAGGTTTCTGGCGTGGCCAAGGGACGCAACTCTGCTCTGATCAAGAGGGCAAGATCCTAACTGGATGAAGTAATGAAAGGTTGATCTTAATGAATGAGACACACAATCTACATACAGACCAAGCATGGTAGAAATACTCAACTGAAACATTTAAATTGTACATAACTTATTGAAGCATAATACAAGCAGTGTGTGGGGTGATTGAGGAACAATCATTCGGGAGGGGGAGAAATTATTTTGAAATAAATAGTTTGTTCCAGAAAAATATACTTTGTCCTTAGGTTTTACTGAAAAAAAATAAACTGAGCTGGACATGCTGTGAGTTGTGAAAAAACTATGCAAGCACATCCCATATCTCTGTTCATCTGACAGGAGTCAAGCGGCATGATCAGAAAATAAAACAGAAGAATTTAATAGTCATTTTATTTACCTGCTTGTTGATATTGGCAGATGAGAAAAAAAAATGCAATGAAGAAATCAAACAAAATTTTAATCAATAAACCTCTTGCCACTGCAAACATTTCACAAAGAGGAGAAAAAACCCTGAAAGAATACTACAGTAAAAATATCTGACATCCTATTCATTATTATCTTCTTTACTTCAATATCGTTTAAGATAATGTTACAGTAATAGTACCGACTCTACATGGCACCAACTACAGTTTGCTGGCTACATTTTCATGACACCCTAGAGTTACAAAGCTATCCTGTACACTACTCTACACCACAAGAACTACTCTACACAGGTGTGTGTGTGCGCGCGTGCGAATCAATTAATCATGTCTGGACCAAACAATCCAGTGCTTGTCGTGAGCAATGATCCCGTCCGGGTACGATGACATGCCGTCAACGAAGTTACCAAGTCGGACCACCTGACCCCTTAAGTCGCCTCTTATGACAAGCACAGGTTTCTGGGGACATATTCTAACCTTCAATCTCAACGGGAGTGACAGTGTGGTAGAATGCCCTACATTCCCCTTGTTGCCGAGACACTGGAACAGAACCCAGAACTCCTGTGTAACAAAACACTATCCACTGGGCTAACCCACCAGCCCCTTATGACATGAATATGTACAATTTATACATACTTGTTCTTAAGGCAATAATTTTAACAAACTGAAGGGCTACACAAATACATTCAATAAAACATCAGTAACCATAGTAACAATATTTTAAAATATAAAATGAATCTAAAGGAATTTTAGGTTTATCTATGGTATATTTGAGGCAACTGAAATAGTAACAATCTTCTTTGCCTTGAGACATATATTTAGTCATCTTGAAGTACGTCTGTAGTGGAAATGACATTTCTGTCACATTTGACTAAAAACAATACACAATCGGTTACCACAGTGACAGGCATGAAACAGACAACCTAATAAAGAAATCTTCTATAAAGGCTATCTGTTGCCATAGTAACAACATTCAGCTGCTTCAACAGTCATAACTGTACTGAACTGACAAGATCCAAGATCAGCAAATGAGTGAGTGAGTGAGTTGGTAGATCTCTCATGTGAACAACAGGCTGGGACTTACAAGCTGAACATTTGTGCAAAACCCTTGACCTGTTGTGGTGTACTCTGGCCCTTTCAACCCCTAAAACCACAAGAGTGAGTGAGTGAGTGAGTGAGTGAGTTGGGTTTAACGCCGCTTTTAACATTATTCCAGTTATATCACAGCGTGTCAGCTTAATGTGGGAGTAAAGCCTGAAGTGATGCAGGTCTAAGACGTTTACCACTTTGGTGAAACCCACGAGCACGGGTATGGTGCTGACAAACCTAGAAACATAATTGGGGCGAACCGGGATTCGAACCCACAATCATAGGTTTCTGGCGTGCCCAAGGGATGCAACTCTGCACAGCGAATCGCGGCGCCTTAGACGACTGGGCCACCCGTGCCCCCCAAAACCACAAATGGATTGATGTGATGTAGGTGGCTGATATCATGTTGGCTAAAGCCCTGTTCAAAGACCCCAAGAATTAGTTTGTAAATATTTCATTGTTACAATATTCCACTGTAATGATAATATCCCTGAAAAACTAATCCGTTATTTGTCATTTGTTTTGTAACAGTGTCAGATGATATAATTCTGAGTCTTTGTATGCTGATTTATCCAAATAAATCTTAATGAATTCAGCAACTGTCCACATTCCTTTATCATTTGTAAATAAAAATATCACATGAAATCGTTGTTCAAATGTGGCACACCAGTTTGGCTTGTAAAGAATCCAATCCAATGTGTAACTTTAACGAGAATACCCACACACACCAATTTGACACATAATTATTTTCTTACAAAATGGGAAACACAGTTACACTTGTCTTTCTTTCAGAGTATTGTTTTGTTCATTTAAGTGAGTGAGTGAGTATGGTTTCACGCCGCTTTTAGCAATATTCCAGCAATATCAAGGCAGGGGACACCAGAAATGGGCTTCACACATTGTACCCATGTTGGGAATCGAACCCGGGTCTTCGGCATGTAAAAACGCTTTAACCAGTAGGCTACCCGACCGCCCCATGTTCATTTAAGGATGCCACACCTAATACTGATTTATCAACACAGTGACATGGGACCCTGTGATTCTGGGGACCCGGACAGATAATTTTGTGACTGTCTACATACAGGGTGAGTGAGTGAGTTGGGTTTAACGCCGCTTTTAACAGTATTCCTGTTATATCACGGCATGTCAGCTTAATGTGGGAGGAAAGCCCGAAGTGATGCAGGTCACGGACGTTTACCACTTCGGTGAAACCCACGAGCACGGGTATGGTGCTGACAAACCTAGAAACATAATCAGAGTGAACCGGGATTCGAACCCACAATCATAGGTTTCTGGCGTGCCCAAGGGACGCAACTCTGCACAGCGAAGACGCATTTGACGACTGGGCCACCGTGCCCCCACTACATACAGGGATTTATCAAAAATTCAACAGCCAAAATGTATAAAAACGTCGTTTTGTTGGAAATTGGGACTTTCCTAAAATCCTATATTCTTAATTACAAAGGAATTTTAAAATAGCATTCAATGCAATAATTTAAAATTAAGTATTAAAGCCTTTAATACATACAAGTCACCTCCATCAAGCCACATTAGTTATTACTGTAGTTGCCAGAATTGGGAAATTGTGTTAACCATTTGAGAAGCATTGCTGACATTTGCTGTAGATGTAGGGCTGATTGTATACCTATAGAAAGTGTAAGTACGAGGTGTTAAAGAGTGCGCATGTATTTTTCTAAATAAAACAATAGGTATACAATATCGATAAATGCTATGTGTGTGTCTATTTCTGGGATTTTATCGAGTATTTGCATCTTGGAAATTTTCATTCGACCTCAAGCTAACGCTTTCGGGTCTTGAGATGAATTTCCAAGATGCAAATACTTGATAAAATCCCGGATATAGACACACACATAGTATTTATCTTCTAAATATCAGCCTTTGACCAGTCTAAATAAAACCCTGACATATAACAAGGGCGCCGCGAATAGCTGTAATAATGCTGATGCTGCGTAAAGCAATACTGTAAATCTTGAAATTAATGCGTCTCCTAATTTATACAACTGCTGGCCCCTAGTCAATAATGCGACTCAATATCAATGCGACTCCCCCACTCCTTCCCCAGTGGATTCCTACCTTGACACTAGCGGGTAGAAGTGATAACTCACAGGATGCCTATTGTGTAACTTCAGTTCTCTGAATGACGTTATATACATTGATGCGATGTTTCATTAATGGGAACAAAGACTACTTGCATTTGTCACATTTAATTCACGCTTGCGTTAATTTCAAGGTTTACGGTATTTATTCATTCATTCATCAAGAGGCATCATAATGTACCCAGGTTTAACATGTTTAAGAGTGAGTGAGCGAGTGAGTGAGTATGGTTTTACGCCACTTTTAGCAATATTCCAGCAATATCATGGCGGTGGACACCAGAAATGGGCTTCACACTTTGAACCCACGTCAGGAATCGAACCCGAGTCTTCGGCATGATGAGCAAACACCTTAAGCCACTAGGCTACCCGACCACCATCAACCCCCCAACCCCCAGGGCATGCTGGGAGTGGAGCCGCCCTTTACAGCAGACTCCACTGTGTTTCATATTCACTAAAACCTCCAAAAGATGCTGCCAACAATCATATGGCCTTGACCTGTATTCTTGAAGTGAAGCCCTTTCATGTGTCAACTGAGCCAGCTCGAGCCAACACATGTATTGTTTAGTCCTTTGCATATAAAACAGGATAAAAGTCTGAATGTCCCTGTTCAGGGCCTGTACACTTCTGTGGATACAAGTCGTTTCTTCTTGATTGACTGCCACAACCACTCCGGGGTCACAACCTTGGCCTTGCCACCCACTGTGCCAATCTGGAAAGGAAATTAGTAACCATGGTAACATGTTAATTTTCTTTACATGGAACAGGTGAGTGAGTGAGTGAGTGAGTGGAAATTGCTGTATAATGCATCAGCAGGTACCAATGCTTTCTACTGGACACCTATCCACCATGTTTGTTTGATGCTACCAATAGACTGAACGCAACAGCATTATTAGTTGAAAAAAAGGATGTAAAGCTAAAAAAAAAAAAGCAGAAAAAAGTGTTAAACCCCCTGTTATTTTTACGAGGCTACAAAAATGCATGGCGTCTGAAAAACTTAGAAACTATGGCACGGGATGTGCACATCCCTTACCAAAATTGGCAGGAAGGTGTCCGGTATACTGCATTCTTGCCGATCAGTAATACGGCACCTATTTGTGGCGATACAGGGGTAGTTCATCTGCACTCAGCAATATTCCAGCTATATGACAGCGGTCTGTAAATAATCAAGTCTGGACCAGACAATCCAGTGATTAATATCATGAGCATCGATCCACTCAATTGGGATCAATGACATGCATCAACCAAGTCAGCGAGCCTCACTCATATTGCTGGAATATTGCTAAAAGCTTGTGAAACCAAACTCACTTACTATTACACAGTTATTCTTTCAATGAAGTTTCAATATCAAACAGGACTGGAAACATTAACTCACCTTTCCCTTAGAAGACACAATATGTGTAGCTGATCCCTTACTGAACTCTGCCAACAGGTCACCGTCAAAACTAGCCACAGTTAAGGAATTCTCAAACAACAGAACAAGTACTTCTGGCATACATAATTTGAGGACGTTGTTTAGGCCAGGCTTTTTGTACTTTTAGGATTACAGATTTTTCAGCCCAACGTCCAAGGTTGGAAGAGGGGAAAACAAAAGAAAAAAAGCTAGATCCATTTTTTTTAATGCAGAATGCCTCTGGCATACTTTATAACACATTCTGTGCTCAAAAGACCGCCATTTGTGATAAAGCCCCTTGTAACAATAAAAATTCTACCACTTACATCACGGACAATTGTCAAGGGAGACTATTCATGTTCGGCTTCGAGATCAACAAAGATCGATTATGTATCTCTTTACTAGTTTACATCAGTAAAGTCATATGTTTTTTTTTAAAAGGTGATGATAACAAATAAAATAACTGAATACAAGGCTATTGGTGAGGGAAAAAAATGGAAATCTGATTTTTTTTATCTTTTACATTTTCTCAAAAATTAGAGTCGGGGGTCCATAATCTGAAAAATATAAAACGCCTGGCCTAACGGATCTATCCTCAGAATTTCTTTAGAAGATACTTGGCAGTTATGGAAAGGTCTAGCATGAAAACCAAAGTCAGGAACTCTGGGATTCATATTCATGAAGCGACAGTTACCATGGTTACTAGTCTGTTAACGTAAAACCTTATTCACTGTCCAAACAACCATATTGAGAAAGGTGACTAGAACCTTACTTTTTGCTGTGATGAACACCACATCAATCAGTTCCTTCACACATAGGCTGAATATATGTTACAGTACATGTGAAAAATGACTGAAATTTTCACTAAGCCAAACTACATAATGCAAAAATATTTCACTGACTTTACTATTATTTTTCCATTCATTATATTATGATAATGAATTCCAAATATGTTTATGCTCTATTTCATCACCCAGTGACTGAAAATGATAGGATTAAAAGAAAATGAAAGTCAATGTATATATTAAAAAATATTTGGCTTCCAACAATTAATATATGTCAATAACTAGTCAATTGTGATGTTTTTAAGCACTTTTGGACCTCCTGATAACTTTTAGTTAATCTGACTGAAAACGACGGACATATTTTGGTGTTTTGTAAATTGCCAATATGAAAATGTCTGTCATTTAACACAATGACTGTAACATATACATATACCGGTAGTCCTACAACTGTTACTGTCAGACACCTAGATAGTTAATCTCAGCTCCTATTCCCGGTGTTGAGTGTGGCCTCGTTTGTTTGCGTGTTGTTTACAGCTGAGCATCAACGGTATTACAGCAACATGAAGGCAAGCTGCAAATAATCAAGTCTGGACCAAAAAACTAGTGACTGATATTATTAACAGGTGAGGTGGTGAGGTAAAATGGGGTTTAACGTCGCGTCCAAGATTATTGCACTTATATAGCGACGTGCATGCACGTGTAAGTATGTGTGTGGCTGCTTGTACTAGTCCGGACTGATGCCGATTTATAGTGCTAGCCCACTGAGATACCATGCCGCAGTTTAACATGAGGACCCCACTCAGACACAGTATACTGACCCCGAGCCGACCAGTCCTTGTTTTAGCCCCTTAATGCCGAGCGCCAGACAGGGTAACAACAAGTACCATCTTTTAACGTCTTTTTTTATGATGTGGCCGGGGATCGAAATCCAGACCTTCCGCTCTCCGGGTGGACACTCTACCACTAGACCACAGAGGCGGTCTATTATTAACAACATCAGCATTGGGGTACAATGACACTCAGACAATCAAGCGCCAAAACCTGACTACCTGTTCCATTACATGGCCTTTAATGATCAGCATTGGATGCTGGGGATCTATTCGTGTTGGTTGGTTTGTTGGTTGGTTTGTTGTTGAACGCTGCACTCAGCAATATTCCAGCTATATGACGGCGGTCTGTAAATAATCAAATCTGGACCAAACAATCCAGTGATTGATATCATGAGCATCGATCCACGCAATTAGGATACAATGACATGTATCAACCAAGTCAGCAAGCCTGACCACCCGATCCCGTTAGTCGCCTCTTACGACAAGCATAGATGCCGTTTGCGGCAAGCATGGGTTGCTGAAGACCTATTCTACCCCGGATTTTCATGGGTCGGATCTATTCTAACCCTGAGTCCCCAGGGCGACTCCTAGATGTAAAGGATACGCTATGATGTACCGCTTGAGCTCCTTGAACTTCTCGGTGCTTTCTGGCAGGAATATCTTGCAGCCTGTGAAGATGTTGGGTAGGGTCTTGGAGGAACTGGCTACCCCAGGGGTGGGGGGCTTGGACGGTGACTTGTGGGGGGTGCTGCCACCTGCTTGGTGATAGAAGGCTGCCTTGTGGGAGGGGCTGGACTGGTAGCAGGAGGAGCCATACTTGCATTCTGGTTTAGACTGAAATACATTGTCGCACATGAGGCAATACTGCCGAAACAGACTGGACAACAAATTAGTGAAACTTTAGCATGTTGCTTCAGACCTTCTGCTCACTCGCGCAGGGTTTAATACGACTCGCCAATGTGAGTAATTTTAAGGGCCCTTGCAGTATATTCTATATCCAATCACAATATCGGCAGATATCACAATACATGAAGAATTCAGTGGTTTAATGCCGCTTTGAACAGTATTCCAGTTATATCACGGCATGTCACATTGATGTGGAAGCAAACTCGAAGTGATGCTGGTCTTAGGACGTTTACCATTTTGATGAAACCCACTAACAGGGGTATGGTGCAGACAAACCTAGAAACAATCAAGGTGAACCGTGATTCGAACCAACAGGTTTCTGGTGTGCAACTCAAGGGATGCAACTCTGCACATCAAATTGTGGCACCTTAGAAGAATGGGCCACCCGTGGCCCCTCAGATAAAAGTTTTTTTTAGCCATAGCTTTCATATCGGTTTAATATTCAGTTGTCTGGGTTGAACTTGTTACTATAAAGTATGGTAGTGGTCAAGTCACCTTCTTGGTGGGTGTGGTCAATCCTTCATCTTCTGCTTGTCTCTTGACCGGTGTTTTCTTCATGGGGATGTCAACGTCCATGCTGTCACTGTCGCCGCTGCTGTGCTTCGCACCATTACCGTTACTTTCATCATTGCCTGTCTTCTTGGGGACTTCAATGTCTGTCTTCTCCTTGGATTCTTTGTACAGGACCTGAGTTACAAGCACACAGCGTTATAATGAGACACACTGTAGAGTTAGCATTGTACAGGGCCTGGGTAGAAGCATACAGCGTTATAATGAGACACACTGTAGAGTTAGCATTGTACAGGGCCTGGGTTAGAAGTACACAGCGTTATAATGAGACATACTGTAGAGTTATCATTGTACAGGGCCTGGGTAGAAGCATACAGCGTTATAATGAGACACAGTGTAGAGTTAGCATTGTACAGGGCCTGGGTAGAAGCACACAGCGTTATAATGAGACACAGTGTAGAGTTAGCATTGTACAGGGCCTGGGTAGAAGCATACAGCGTTATAATGAGACATACTGTAGGGTCAGCATTGTACAGGGCCTGAGTTAGAAGCACACAGCGTTATAATGAGACACAGTGTAGAGTTAGCATTGTACAGGGCCTGAGTTAGAAGCACACAGCGTTATAATGAGACATACTGTAGGGTTAGCATTGTACAGGGCCTGAGTTAGAAGCACACAGCGTTATAATGAGACACAGTGTAGAGTTAGCATTGTACAGGGCCTGGGTGAGAAGCATACAGCGTTATAATGAGACACAGTGTAGAGTTAGCATTGTACAGGGCCTGGGTTAGAAGTACACAGCGTTATAATGAGACACAGTGTAGAGTTAGCATTGTACAGGACCTGGGTAGAAGCACACAGCGTTATAATGAGACAAACTGTAGAGTTAGCATTGTACAGGGCCTGGGTAGAAGCACACAGCGTTATACTGAGACACACTGTAGAGTTAGCATTGTACAGGGCCTGGGTAGAAGCATACAGCGTTATAATGAGACACAGTGTAGAGTTAGCATTGTACAGGGCCTGAGTTAGAAGCACACAGCGTTATAATGAGACATACTGTAGGGTTAGCGTTGTACAGGGCCTGAGTTAGAAGCACACAGCGTTATAATGAGACATACTGTAGGGTTAGCATTGTACAGGGCCTGAGTTAGAAGCACACAGCGTTATAATGAGACACAGTGTAGAGTTAGCATTGTACAGGGCCTGGGTTAGAAGCATACAGCGTTATAATGAGACACACTGTAGAGTTAGCATTGTACAGGGCCTGGGTAGAAGTACACAGCGTTATAATGAGACACACTGTAGAGTTAGCATTGTACAGGGCCTGGGTAGAAGCATACAGCGTTATACTGAGACACAGTGTAGAGTTAGCATTGTACAGGGCCTGGGTAGAAGCACACAGCGTTATAATGAGACATAGTGTAGAGTTAGCATTGTACAGGGCCTGAGTTAGAAGCACACAGCGTTATAATGAGACATACTGTAGAGTTAGCATTGTACAGGGCCTGGGTAGATCACACAGCGTTATAATGAGACACAGTGTAGAGTTAGCATTGTACAGGGCCTGGGTAGAAGCACACAGCGTTATAATGAGACACACTGTAGAGTTAGCATTGTACAGGGCCTGGGTAGAAGCACACAGCGTTATAATGAGACACACTGTAGGGTTAGCATTGTACAGGGCCTGGGTAGAAGCATACAGCGTAATAATGAGACACAGTGTAGGGTTAGCATTGTACAGGGCCTGGGTAGAAGCATACAGCGTTATAATGAGACACAGTGTAGCGTCAGCATTGTACAGGGCCTGGGTAGAAGCACACAGCGTTATAATGAGACACAGTGTAGAGTTAGCATTGTACGGGACCTGGGTAGAAGCATACAGCATTATAATGAGACACAGTGTAGAGTTAGCATTGTACAGGGCCTGGGGAGAAGCATACAACATTATAATGAGACACACTGTAGAGTTAGCATTGTACAGGGCCTGGGTTAGAAGCATGCAGTGTTATAATGAGACACAGTGTAGCGTCAGCATTGTACAGGGCCTGGGTAGAAGCATACAGCCTTATAATGAGACACACTGTAGAGTTAGCATTGTACGGGACCTGGGTAGAAGCACACAGCGTTATAATGAGACACAGTGTAGGATAAGCATGATCTTGTCTGTCCGTCTGTGGGTGACTTTATGAACAACTGGGTGGATGAGTTGGGTCTTCTGTTGCTCTTTATGTCTCTTGTGAGATGACAATGTCAGCCTTCTCCTTGGAATATTTGAACAGTGAGTGAGTGAAATAATTAGTGAGTTATGTTTAAATATCAAACACTCAGCCCCCCACCCCACCACCACAAGAGATTTAATGATGTTCTCTCTTCTATATGTAACACAGTACCTTCAATCTGGGTAGATCTGTCGCATTCTCCCAATTCTTATCATCCCTGAATTTCTGAATTCTGGGAAATCTGATTGAGATTCCGTCAGCAGTGTGAACCTCTGCCTTGCTGAACTCGGCTCCGATGATCTCCCAGACTGGAGCCTTCTTGGGGTCGGTGACGACAAAGTCTGGCGTGAGTGGCTTCTTGATGTTGAGCCACATGGGCACCTTGGTGAAGTTCTTGCTGATCTTCACCATGTCCATCTCCTTGTTCAGCTTCTCCAGCATCTTGTCATCCAGACCGCTGCCGCACTTCGTCACCGTGCACCACAGCTTAGACTTGGGGTCGTAAACGCCTAGCAGGAAGATAGACATCATGCCACCTGGTGGGAGAAAGAGGAACTGTGTAACGCAAACTCTGTATGAACATATTTGAGTGACCCGTGAAGATCCGGGGTAGAATAGGTCTTCAGCAACCCATGCTTGCTGTAAAAGGCGACTATGCTTGTCGTAAGAGGTGACTAAAGGGATCGGGTGGTCAGGCTCGCTGACTTGGTTGATGCATGTCATCAATCCAAATTGCGTGGATCGATGTTCATGTTGTCAAACACTGGATTGTCTGATCCAGACTCGATTATTTACAGACCACCATCATATAGCCGGAATATTGCGGAATTATATTCGAATTTGTGCGTGCGTGCATGTGTGCTTGAGTGTGCGTTTTTTAACGGTGCACATAGCAGTATTCCATTAATATCTGGGCCAGACAATCCGGAAATTGATATTGTGGACAAGAATCCACACCGTTGGGATACCATGACACGCAATCAACCATGTCACCAAGCCTGACCACCTGTTCCAATAATTCGCCTCTTATGAACAGCACAGGTTGTTGAGGACCAAATATGACGCTGTGATTACTGGGCCAAATAATATTTTACTAGACTGGGTTTGGGACTACATGGAGACTGCGTATTAGACAGAATACAGGAATATGGTATACACCTAATGCGAGGGATAATGATATTTCAGCACAATTGATTCTCAGTCATAAGGATTTGTTAAAAAAAGAGTGCAAGCTCTATGTGACCTCATACATGCATTCTGTCGTATATTCATATCATTTGTCAGTCAGCTCTTAACACAAGCTTTGTTTGGTACTTTATGCCGCAGTCAGCAATACTCAGGCTATATCATAATAATCATGGCAGACTGTAAATAACTAAGTCTAGGTCTCAGAAACCAGTGGTTGATATTATGAGGTAAGGTGAAATGGGGTTTAATGTCACGCCAAGATTATTGCACTTACATAGCGACGTGCATGCACATGTGCGTGTGTGGCTGCTTGTACTAGTCCGGACTGATGCTGATTTGTAGTGAGTGAGTATGGTTTTACATTGCTTTTTAGCAATATTCCAGCAATATCAAGGCAGGGCACACCAGAATGGGCCACATTGTACCCATGTGGGGAATTGAACCCGGGCCTTCAGTGTGACGAGCGAACGCTTTAACCACTAGGCTACCCCACCGCTCGATGCCGATTTATAGTGCTAGCCCACTCAGATACTATGCAACAGTTTAACATGAAAACCCCACTCAGACACAGTATACTGACTCCGAGCCGACCAGTCCTTGTTTTAGCCCCTTAATGCTGAGCGCCAGACAGGGTAACAACAAGTACCATCTTTTAACTGTTTTTGGTATGACGCGGCCGGGAATCGAACCCTGGACCTTCCACCCTCCAGGCGGACGCTCTACCACAAGACCACAGAGGCTGTTGATATAATGAGCAATCTCAAGCTGTCATGGTACGAGGACGGGCAATCGACAAAGGAAACGAGTCTCAATACAAGGATTTGTACCTGTCTCTCTGTGCAATGCCACAAGCTAACACTGACCCGTGAAGAGCCGGGGTAAAATAGGTCTTCAGCAACCCTTGCTTGCCGTAAAAGGCGACTATGCTTGCCGTAAGAGGCGACTAATGGGATCGAGTGGTCAGGCTCGCTGACTTGGTTGATACATGTCATCGACCCCAGTTGCGTGGATCGATGCTCATGTCAATCACTGGATTGTCTGGTCCAGACTCAATTGTTAACAGACCGCTGTCATGTAGTGGGAATATTGCCGAGGGCGGCGTAAAACAACTATCCAACAAGTTAACACCCCTACCTACCCTTGTTTCCTGTGCCAAAGTACGCCCCCAGGACCACCAGGTCAGCAGAGTCGGCCATACTGCCCTGATGCAAATAGTCTTTCTTCACCTTCAACCAGTGTCGCTTTCCTGGTTCGTAGTTACTCTGGAAACACACAATCCCACATCAGACCAAAAGTACCATGGAAAAGGGGGCATGGTTTGCCCAGTTGTGTCAGGCGCTGCATTTTGCAGTGCAGAGTTGTGTCCCCTTGGCACGTCAGAAACTATGGTCGTGGCTTCGAATTCCGGTTTGCCACAATTATGTTTCAAGGTTTGTCAATGCCAAATGTGCGCTTGTGGGTTTCACCACAGCGGTACACATCTTAGACCTGCATCACTTCTGGTTTTCCTCCCACATAAAGCTGACACGCCGTGATATTATTAGAATACTGTTGCTACTGTTCAAGGTGGCGTTAATCCCAACATACTCCCTCACTCATTCCATTCCTCACTTTTAACAAAATGTAACTCCGGAGTCTGATACAACATAGAGAACCGATAACTGAACCTAGGTGGCGCTTATTGTAGGCGCCACCAAGAGGAGACAACTCTTGTTTCTATTCCTTTGACACTCATTCCTCACATCAACATTGTCAAACAAATCCTCATTTCACACTATGTACATGTGTCTCACATTGACATCCTTCAGCACGAGTCCTTCCAGGCCCTCTCGGAACACCTTGTCCATCATGGACTGGAGGTCACTTGGCTTCTGCAAACAGATGAAGGATACAGCTCTTAGTCTTGTCTTTCCAGGGCAGGAGCAAACAAGGGCATGGATAACTGGGAATAACATTTTTGATTCATGTTGATTGGCTTAAACACAGCAATTAACATTGCAGTTACTACCATTATTGCTACTACTGCTACTATTACTACTGTTACTACAACTACTACTACTACTACTGCTGCTGCTGCTGCTACTACTACCTCTGCTGCTGCTACTACTACTACCTCTGCTGCTGTTACTACTACTACCTCTGCTGCTGCTACTACTACCGCTATAACTCGTTACTACTGCTACTACTACTACCACTACTACTACTTCTGCTACTACTACTACTGCTTGTCATAAGAAGCGACTAATGTGATCGGTTGGCCAGACATGGTTGATGCATGTCATCAATCCTAATTGCGTGGATCGATGCTCATGATGTCAATCACTGGATTGTCTGGTCCAGACCTAATTATTTACAGACCGCCGTCATATAGCTGGAATATTGCTGAGTGCAGCGTTAAACAACAAACAAACAAACAATTGCGTGGATCGATGCTCAAGATGTCAATCACTGGATTGTCTGGCCCAGACTTTATTATTTACAGACCGCCGTCATATAGCTGGAATATTGCTGAGTGCGGCGTTAAAAAACAGACAGACAAACAAACAAAGCTTACCTTAATGTGTTCATACTCGGAGAACATGATTCTGTTGGGTATTTCCTGCATGTTGTCCTGCAGTATCGCCCTCCTCTTCTTGATGGGTCTGAAACCATGGTTACCATCACAGTGAAATCATAGGACTGTATAATACTTCACTGCCCCAAACATTTCATGTAAAATTTATAACCGCCCCTCCACCAAATACATGTAACATTTTATAACCACCCTTCCCCCAATACATGTAACATTTTATAACCACCCCTCCCCCAATACATGTAACATTTTATAACCACCCCTCCCCCAATACATGTAACATTTTATAACCACCCCTCCCTCAAATACATGTAACATTTTATAACCACCCCTCCCCCAATACATGTAACAATTTATAACCACCCCTCCCCAAAATACATGTAACATTTTATAACTACCCCTCCCCCAATACATGTAACAATTTATAACCACCCCTCCCCCAATACATGTAACATTTTATAACCACCCCTCCCCCAATACATGTAACAATTTATAACCACCCCTCCCCAAAATACATGTAACATTTTATAACCACCCCTCCCTCAAATACATGTAACATTTTATAACCACCCCTCCCCCAATACATGTAACATTTTATAACCACCGCTCCCCCAATACATGTAACATTTTATAACCACCCCTCCCTCAAATACATGTAACATTTTATAACCACCCCTCCCTCAAATACATGTAACATTTTATAACCACCCCTCCCTCAAATACATGTAACATTTTATAACCACCCCTCCCCCAAATACATGTAACATTTTTCCATGACACCCCCTCCCTAAAACATGTAACATTTTATAACCACCCCTCCCCCAAATACATGTAACATTTTTCCATGACACCCCCTCCCTAAAACATGTATAATAAACGACCAGTGATCAGTCCCTGAATAATGTTCAAATTCATAACTTTTTTCTGAAAATATAGAACTCCACATGGATGGCATAAACTTTTGCGACCACCCATAACTTTTACTTTGCTGTTTTACCTGTCCATAAGGTTTTCCCCATTGATGTGAAGACAGTCGAACACAAACAGACACACTTTAGCTTCCGAGAATGCAGCTTTCTGAAACACAAAATATTGTCGGACTGAAAACAAAGTCACATGTTCCCTGGAGGTGGTGATTGTATGACGTCTGTCTGTGGTGTCAATCATGTGCAGTGATTTTGTTTGACATGAATCCTTTGCAAGATATTCTAGAACATTTTCATGATTCTATCCATTTTTGACAGGACATTATGCGTCAGAGGCAGATCCAGGGTTGCAAGAAACAGTTGGGTGCACACTAAGTAACAAGGACAACAGACATGATGGACGTGTGCACTCCACTTTTAGATGGGCCAGAGCATATACTACCCAATTTGAAAACATGGCAGGACATTTAGGATAACAAACCATCGATGTTCTGGACTATCAACCATTCCATCGATGTCCTAGACTATCAACCAACAGTCGATGTCCTAGATTATAAACCATTCCATCGATGTCCTAGATTATCAACCAACAGTCGATGTCCTAGACTATCAACCATTCCATCGAAGTCCTAGATTATCAACCATTCCATCGATGTCCTAGATTATCAACCAACAGTCGATGTCCTAGATTATCAACCAACAGTCGATGTCCTAGACTATCAACCATTCCATCAATGTCCTAGATTATCAACCAACAGTCGATGTCCTAGATTATCAACCATTCCATCAATGTCCTAGATTATCAACCAACAGTCGATGTCCTAGATTATCAACCATTCCATCAATGTCCTAGATTATCAACCAACAGTCGATGTCCTAGATTATCAACCATTCCATCGATGTCCTAGATTATCAACCAACAGTCGATGTCCTAGATTATGAACCATTCCATCGATGTCCTAGATTATCAACCAACAGTCGATGTCCTAGATTATCAACCAACAGTCGATGTCCTAGATTATCAACCAACAGTCGATGTCCTAGACTATCAACCATTCCATCAATGTCCTAGATTATCAACCAACAGTCGATGTCCTAGATTATCAACCATTCCATCGATGTCCTAGATTATCAACCAACAGTCGATGTCCTAGATTATCAACCATTCCATCAATGTCCTAGATTATCAACCAACAGTCGATGTCCTAGATTATCAACCATTCCATCGATGTCCTAGATTATCAACCAACAGTCGATGTCCTAGATTATAAACCATTCCATCGATGTCCTAGATTATCAACCAACAGTCGATGTCCTAGATTATCAACCAACAGTCGATGTCCTGGATTATCAACCAACAGTCGATGTCCTAGACTATCAACCATTCCATCAATGTCCTAGATTATCAACCAACAGTCGATGTCCTAGATTATCAACCATTCCATCGATGTCCTAGATTATCAACCAACAGTCGATGTCCTAGATTATAAACCATTCCATCGATGTCCTAGATTATCAACCAACAGTTGATGTCCTAGATTATCAACCAACAGTCGATGTCCTAGAATATCAACCATTCCATCGATGTCGTAGACTATCAACCGACAGTCGATGTCCTAGACGTCTAATCAACCATTCCATCAATGTCCTAGATTATCAACCAACAGTCTATGTCCTAGACTATCAACCATTCCATCAATGTCCTAGATTATCAACCAACAGTCGATGTCCTAGATTATCAACCATTCCATCGATGTCCTAGATTATCAACCAACAGTCGATGTCCTAGATTATCAACCATTCCATTGATGTCCTAGATTATCAACCAACAGTCGATGTCCTAGATTATAAACCATTCCATCGATGTCCTAGATTATCAACCAACAGTCGATGTCCTAGATTATCAACCAACAGTCGATGTCCTAGATTATCAACCAACAGTCGATGTCCTAGACTATCAACCATTCCATCAATGTCCTAGATTATCAACCAACAGTCGATGTCCTAGATTATCAACCATTCCATCGATGTCCTAGATTATCAACCAACAGTCGATGTCCTAGATTATCAACCATTCCATCGATGTCCTAGATTATCAACCAACAGTCGATGTCCTAGACTATCAACCATTCCATCAATGTCCTAGATTATCAACCAACAGTCGATGTCCTAGATTATCAACCATTCCATCGATGTCCTAGATTATCAACCAACAGTCGATGTCCTAGATTATCAACCAACAGTCGATGTCCTAGAATATCAACCATTCCATCGATGTCGTAGACTATCAACCGACAGTCGATGTCCTAGACGTCTAATCAACCATTCCATCGATGTCCTAGATTATCAACCAACAGTCGATGTCGTAGACTATCAACCAACAAGTCGATGTCCTAGATTTTCAACCATTCCATCAATGTCCTAGAACTATAAACCATTCCATCGATGTCCTAGATTATCAACCAACAGTCGATGTCCTAGATTATCAACCATTCCATCAATGTCCTAGATTATCAACCAACAGTCGATGTCCTAGATTATCAACCACTCATCGATGTCCTAGATTATCAACCAACAGTCGATGTCCTAGATTATCAACCATTCCATCAATGTCCTAGATTATCAACCAACAGTCGATGTCCTAGATTATCAACCATTCAATCGATGTCCTAGATTATTAACCAACAGTCGATGTCCTAGATTATAAACCATTCCATCGATGTCCTAGATTATCAACCAACAGTCGATGTCCTAGATTATCAACCAACAGTCGATGTCCTAGACTATCAACCATTCCATCGATGTCGTAGACTATCAACCGACAGTCGATGTCCTAGACGTCTAATCAACCATTCCATCGATGTCCTAGATTATCAACCGACAGTCGATGTCGTAGACTATCAACCAACAAGTCGATGTCCTAGATTTTCAACCATTCCATCAATGTCCTAGAACTATAAACCATTCCATCGATGTCCTAGATTATCAACCAACAGTCGATGTCCTAGATTATCAACCAACAGTTGATGTCCTTGTCGTTTCACTACACACAACAACTGTATCTAAGTCACCTTATGTACGCCAAGTGTTCCGAACGGCAGGGGTTTGCCTGTGTTGGTGTCGACCAGAAGCACTTCCGCATCCAGGATGAGATCGTCGCCCGACGGGAACGCCTTGGGGATGAACTCCTTGAAGTGGGCTACCTGAAGGTTGGGAAGAGAGAAAACAGTCATTGATCACTGTGGAATATTACAAAACATACAAAACAAAAACGAATTTCATTCTAGATCGGACCTTTAAGTGAATGGAATTGGTTGTAAAAACAAAATTGACGGGATCATCGCAACCTATTGATCCTTGAAACTCTCCAAGAATTCCCAAACACCAGGACTACAATGGTGGTACTGTCATGGTTGTTCATTGTATGCAGACAATTACAAGATCAGTTTTTTAATGTTCAGTAGCGTAGCCAGTCAACATGGCTACAGGAAGCAGAGGGCAGGTAAGTTAGATCGCGAAAACCTCGAGAATGGATCTGGTGGTTAGTTTCCGTTTACAGAAAAGAGAGTCTTCTTCAAACAGTACTCTGAAGAGTGAGTGAGTGAGTGAGTGAGTGAGTGAGTGAGTGAGTGAGTGAGTGAGTGAGTGAGTGAGTGAGTGAGTGAGTGAGTGAGTGAGTTGGATGTAACGCCCCTTTTAACAGTATTCCAGTTACAGTTCCAGCGTGTGAGCTTAATGTGGGAGGGAAGCCCTAAGTGATGCAGGTCTCAGATGTTTACCACTTCGGTGAAACCAAGGAGCACGGGTATGGTGCTGGCAAACCTAGAAACATAATCGGGGCGAACCGGGATTCGAACCCACAATCATAGGTTTCTGGCGTGCCGAAGGGATGCAACTCTGCACAGCGAATCGCGGGGCGTTAGACGACTGGACCACCCCTGCCCCCGTACTCTGAAGACTAATGAGTAAGTGAGTGAAGTTAAGTGCTGCTTTGAACAGCATTCAGGTTCTATCACGGCTTGTCAGCTTAATGTGGTAGGAAAGGCCAAGGTGGTTCAGGTCTCAGACGTTGACCACTATCGTGATACACATGAGCACGGGTTTCGGACCTACGATCAAGGTTTTCCGGCATGCTTTAACCATTCAACTCTGCACAGCGAAATTGTGGCGCCTAATAAGATTGGACCACCCGTGTGGCTGAGGAATAATGAAATAAGGTTCTTTGGACTATTCTTAAAACACCAATTCTTTGGCTTTTAAACTCCCTGTCCCTGTTTTCCGACCAACCCCTGAAAGCGCCCCAGTTGTTTTCGTCACATCACCTTGTGAGGCAGGACAGGCTTCAAGCTGCGGCTGAAGTACCGGAACTCGTCGGACTTCTTGTGGACCTGCACCCTCTCTCCGTCATACTTGATCTCGGCGTAGAATCCATTAGGACACTTCTTCATGGCCTGCTCCACCGACCTGCAAGCCTCTGCCTGAACAGAGAGTGGATGGTGAATGGTACACATGGAACTACACGGGGCTGTACGACTCCGGCAGTGGGTGGTGAATGGTACACATGGAACTACACGGGGAAGTACGACTCTGACAGTGGGTGGTGAATGGTACACATGGAACTACACGGGGAAGTACGACTCTGATAGTGGGTGGTGAATGGTACACATGGAACTACATGGGGCTGTACGACTCTGACAGTGGGTGGTGAATGGTACACATGGAACTACACATGGAACTACACGGGGAAGTACGACTCTGACAGTGGGTGGTGAATGGTACACATTGAACTACACGGGGCCGAACGACTCAGACAGTGGGTGGTGAATGGTACACATGGAACTACACAGGGCCGTACAACTCCGACAGTGGGTGGTGAATGGTACACATGGAACTACACGGGGCTGTACGACTCCGACAGTGGGTGGTGAATGGTACACATGGAACTACACGGGGCTGTATGACTCCGACAGTGGGTGGTGAATGGTACACATGGAACTACATGGGGAAGTACGACTCAGACAGTGGGTGGTGAATGGTACACATGGAACTACACGGGGAAGTACGACTCCGACAGTGGGTGGTGAATGGTACACATGGAACTACACGGGGAAGTACGACTCCGACAGTGGGTGGTGAATGGTACACATGGAACTATACGGGGCCGAACGACTCAAACAGTGGGTGGTGAATGGTACACATTGAACAACATGGGGCTGTATGACTCCGACAGTGGGAGACTGACAACATGGGAAGTACGGAAGACTGACAACATGGGAAGTACTGGAGACTGACAAAATGGGAAGTATGGGAGACTGACAACATGGGAAGTACGGAAGACTGACAACATGGGAAGTACTGAAGACTGACAAAATGGGAAGTATGGGAGACTGACAACATGGGAAGTACGGAAGACTGACAACATGGGAAGTACTGAAGACTGACAAAATGGGAAGTATGGGAGACTGACCAGCATGGGAAGTACGGGAGTCATGAGTGAGGCTCGGATGCTCAACTTCTTCTTCATGCCTGGCTTGCTCTCCTCGGCGTTGGCGTACACATGGAACTACACGGGGAAGTACGACTCCGACAGTGGGTGATGAATGGTACACATGGAACTACACGGGGAAGTACGACTCCGACAGTGGGTGGTGAATGGTACACATGGAACTATACGGGGCCGAACGACTCAAACAGTGGGTGGTGAATGGTACACATTGAACAACATGGGGCTGTATGACTCCGACAGTGGGAGACTGACAACATGGGAAGTACGGGAGACTGACAACATGGGAAGTACTGGAGACTGACAACATGGGAAGTACGGAAGACTGACAACATGGGAAGTACTGAAGACTGACAAAATGGGAAGTATGGGAGACTGACAACATGGGAAGTAGGGAAGACTGACAACATGGGAAGTACTGAAGACTGACAAAATGGGAAGTATGGGAGACTGACAACATGGGAAGTACGGAAGACTGACAACATGGGAAGTACTGAAGACTGACAACATGGGAAGTACGGGAGACTGACAAAATGGGAAGTATGGGAGACTGACAACATGGGAAGTACTGAAGACTGACAACATGGGAAGTACGGGAGACTGACAACATGGGAAGTACGGGAGACTGACAACATGGGAAGTACTGAAGACTGACAACATGGGGAGTATGGGAGACTGACAACATGGGAAGTACGGGAGACTGACAACATGGGAAGTACGGGAGACTGACAACATGGGAAGTACAGGGGACTGTCAACATGGGAAGTACAGGAGACTGACAACATGGGAAGTACTGAAGACTGACAACATGGGGAGTATGGGAGACTGACAACATGGGAAGTACGGGAGACTGACAACATGGGAAGTACGGGAGACTGACAACATGGGAAGTACGGGATACTGACAACATGGGAACTGACAACATGGGAAGTATGGGAGACTGACAACATGGGGAGTACGGGAGACTGACAACATGGGGAGTATGGGAGACTGACAACATGGGAAGTACGGGAGACTGACAACATGGGAAGTATGGGAGACTGACAACATGGGAAGTACGGGAGACTGACAACATGGGAAGTACGGGACACTGACAACATGGGAAGTACGGGAGACTGACAACATGGGAAGTATGGGAGACTGACAACATGGGAAGTACTGAAGACTGACAACATGGGAAGTACGGGAGACTGACAACATGGGAAGTACTGAAGACTGACAACATGGGGAGTATGGGAGACTGACAACATGGGAAGTACGGGAGACTGACAACATGGGAAGTACGGGAGACTGACAACATGGGAAGTACGGGAGACTGACAACATGGGAACTGACAACATGGGAAGTATGGGAGACTGACAACATGGGGAGTATGGGAGACTGACAACATGGGAAGTACGGGAGACTGACAACATGGGAAGTACGGGAGACTGACAACATGGGAACTGACAACATGGGAAGTATGGGAGACTGACAACATGGGAAGTACGGGAGACTGACAACATGGGAACTGACAACATGGGAAGTATGGGAGACTGACAACATGGGAAGTACTGAAGACTGACAACATGGGAAGTATGGGAGACTGACAACATGGGAAGTACGGGAGACTGACAACATGGGAACTGACAACATGGGAAGTATGGGAGACTGACAACATGGGAAGTACTGAAGACTGACAACATGGGAAGTATGGGAGACTGACAACATGGGAAGTACTGGAGACTGACGACATGGGAAGTACAGGAGACTGACAACATGGGAAGTATGGGAGACTGACAACATGGGAAGTATGGGAGACTGACAACATGGGAAGTATGGGAGACTGACAACATGGGAAGTACGGGAGACTGACAACATGGGAAGTACGGGAGACTGACAACATGGGAAGTATGGGAGACTGACAACATGGGGAGTATGGGAGACTGACAACATGGGAAGTACGGGAGACTGACAACATGGGAAGTACGGGAGACTGACAACATGGGAAGTACGGGAGACTGACAACATGGGAACTGACAACATGGGAAGTATGGGAGACTGACAACATGGGGAGTATGGGAGACTGACAACATGGGAAGTACGGGAGACTGACAACATGGGAAGTATGGGAGACTGACAACATGGGAAGTACGGGAGACTGACAACATGGGAACTGACAACATGGGAAGTATGGGAGACTGACAACATGGGAAGTACTGAAGACTGACAACATGGGAAGTATGGGAGACTGACAACATGGGAAGTACTGGAGACTGACGACATGGGAAGTACAGGAGACTGACAACATGGGAAGTATGGGAGACTGACAACATGGGAAGTACTGAAGACTGACAACATGGGAAGTATGGGAGACTGACCAGCATGGGAAGTACGGGAGTCATGAGTGAGGCTCGGATGCTCAACTTCTTCTTCATGCCTGGCTTGCTCTCCTCGGCGTTGGCTTGAACCCTCTCCACGACGTCCTTCAGATTTCTGGATGCCTGGAATGCTTCATATGCATTAGGGTCAAGGCCGTCTAATCTGGGATCAAAGATGAAGATGAGTTGAGGTGAAATGGGGTCAAGGCCGCATTTAAGATTATTGCAAATATATAGCAATGTGTGTGGGTGTGTTTGCTTGTGTGTGTGTGTGTGTGTGTGTGTGTGCGTGTGTGTGTATGCCCACTGAGATACAATGCTGCAGTTTAACATGAATACCAAACTCAGACACAGTATATTGACTCTCAGCTGACCAGTCCTTGTTTTAACCCCTTAATGCTGAGTGCCAGGCAGGGTAACAACAAGTTCCTTCTATAAACGTCTTTTGGTATGAGGCGGCTGGAGTTTAAAGCCCAGACCTTCCTCTCCCCCCTGGGAGACGTTCTACCACTTGACCACAGGGGCAGTCAGGGGTGAGGTTAAGAAGGGGGTTAACGGCGTGTTCAAGATTATTGTACTTATATTGCAATGTGGGGTATCAGATGAAGATGACAATGCTTATATAGAATATCAAAACATATACATTAGCAAATATTTCATTGACAGTTTAAGTTGAGTACTGATGACTGACATGACTTACATGTTATATATATTTAGGATGATAATACTCATTATATACTGAGGTCCAACCTACATGTGTTTTGCTCCTGAGTTAATGCGAAGGTCGTGTTTGATGAGACGGACCACCATTTTCAAATCGTTTCCGGTACATCTGAAACCAACAAGCCCATCACATGATTCAAATTCAAACTGGAAGAAGTGTATGAATGAATATCGTTTTGTGACACTGTCATCAATGATACAGCTGCTTCATGGAAATCTGTGATGCTTCGAATCCTATCTGTTAGTTCGACACCATACCTCTGAAGATCTGACGACACCTCCATAGAAGGTGCATCATGTAAGAGCTTTCTAAGATGAATCGGTTTCCTTGTTGGTCCACCTTGTTTCGAAAATTGTGAGTGATACAAATGAAAACCTATACAAACACAAATAGTCCTTCAATGTCATGAAGCTCAGCAACAACAATGAACAAGAGGATGTTTGTTTGTTTGTTGTTTAATGCCGCACTCAGCAATATTCCAGCTATATGACGGCAGTCTGTAAATAATCGAGTCTGGACCAGACAATCCAGTGATTGACATCATGAACATCGATCCACACAATTGGGATCGATGACATGCATCAACCAAGGCAGCGAGTCTGACCACCCGATCCTGTTAGTCGCCTCTTATGCCAAGCATAGTCGCCTTCTTGAGTTCAGTCAGCACTTTGTACAAGAATTGGCCATGGGCATCTCTTCCGCCCTGGCATCCCCATGGCCCTGAAGCCATGTCGCCCAAATCACCTTTTAGCAATTTTCGTCAGCAGTCTGAGCTGCTCATCCTCCTTGGTGAATTTAGACAGAGCAGCCAGGAGGCCGTCCACCTGAAACATATGTCTACAGATGCATATCAAGAGTTAAACAGTGAGTGAGTGAGTGAGTGAGGTTTTACACTGCTTTTATCAATATTCTTGCAATATCACGGAGGGGGACACCAGAAATGGGCTTGACACAGTGTAGCCATGTGGGGAATCGAACCTGGGCCTTCTTCGTGATGCTTTAACCACTAGGATCCACCCACCACCCAACAAGTAAAACGACGACGAAAATATGTTGCGTGATGAGTTGATGAGTAAACTAACAGTTTGCAATCATGTTGTTGTCATTTTCCAGTAAATTAATTATCGGGGGGGGGGGGGGGGGGCGCCATGACTCGGTGTGCAGAGTTGTGTCCCTTGGGCACGCAAGAAACCTATAATTGTGGGTTCAAATCCCGGTTTGTCAGCACCATACCCGTGCTCGTGGGTTTCACTGAAGTGGTAAACGTCTGAGACTTGCATCACTTCAGGCTTTTCTCCCACATTAAGCTGACATGCAGCGATATAACTGGAATATTGTTAAAAGCGGTGTTAAACCCAACTCACTCACTCACTCTGAGCAATGGAGAAAGAAAAACAACAGCGCACCATGTGAGCTCGAGATAAAACACAATCAAAATGCCTCTTCTGAATGCTAGTTTACCATTCGAAATTGTGGCCTCGTACAGGCAAATCTTCAATATACTGATATAGATGAAGTTGTAGCTGAAAGATGTTTTCTGCAGTATTGAGACAGGGATGAGACAAGTCGTATTTGCCATGGAACACAAAGTTTGATGGGTAGCTGCTTGTTTCAGAACAGTGTGATTTGGTTAATCGGTTATTTATAGTGTTCCGTCGTTCAAACTGGACCCAAAACAAAGCTATGGTGTTGAATGGAGGGAGATGTTATACCCTGGATGATCGAGGCAATTCATCAGAAACATGACGGTATTTCTGTCACATGATCTGACCTCCAAAACACACTCCAATATTTTTGAAAAACAGTTCTATGAAATTTATTTAATCATGATCACTGCAATATGCCATTTGTTCTCAATCAATCCAACTACCTGTTTATTTTGACCCCATCGATAGACGTTTACCACTTTGGTAAAACCCACAAGTGACAAACCTAAATCATGATCATAGGATTCTGGTACGCCTAGGGGACACAACTCTGCACAGCGAGTTGCAGCACTGCTTCACCTGTGCCTTATTCCTGTTAGTATGTAGTGAAATGTCAGTCTGTTTGTTTGTTTGTTAATTTTTTGTTTAGCATCACACTCAGCAATATTCCAGTCTCTTAATAATCGATTCTGGACCAGACAATCTAGTGATTGACATCATGAGCATTGATCCACACAATTAGGATATGGTGACATGCATCAACCAGGTCAGCATTCCTGACCACCCGATAATCGCCTCTTACAACAAGCATAGTCACCTGTCACAGTAAGCATGGGTTGCTGAAGACCTATTCTACCCGGGATCATCACGTGTCTGTAGTTAAGTGATGCAGGTCTTAGAAATGTGAGTTGACAAACCAAGAAATATAATCAGATTTGGTTTGTTTGTTGTTGTTAAACTCTCCACTCAGCAATATTCCAACTATATGGCGGCGGTCTGTAAATATCGAGTCTGGACCAGACAATCCAGTGGTTGATATCATGAGCATCGATTCACGTAATTGGGATCGATGACATGCATCAACCAAGTCAGCGAGCCTGACCACCCGATCAGGGAGAACTAGATCTATGATGACAGGTTTCCGGTATGCTTTAGGGATGCAATGCTACATGCAAATATTGACATCTTATGTGGCTAGGCCTCCCATCCCTGTCATCATCAATATCAGAAATAGATGGCCTAGTTCATTTCACTCACCTCTTGTAAGGACAGGATACTCTTCTTCAAGGGTTCTACATTCTTGTTGGTCTCAAAAAACACCCTGACTGTCTCTGCCACATCCCCCTGTACAGACACACACACACACACACACTGTTACTCACACACATTATAAACACATGTATAGTCTTGAAGGTAATTTAAGGTACCGACGTTACTACAATATCTGAAAAACTATCGGACCTACTCCAGTCAAAGTTGGTATGAGATTAGTAGACAGTCATACATAACTGGATATTACATTTAAAGACAATCGGTGCATGAATAAAAAAACTGTCTATTTAGCTATCACTATATTTCATCAACAACCAGACCTGTTCGTCATGGGTGGAACGAGCATTCATTGTAATAGCCATCTGCATAATGCTTCCCCTGCATCACAGGGCCATATGACACAGTTGAACCAATCAACTCAACTCGAAAGGTTGCACGCGAATCACGCACGTTGAGACGCCCAACGCTAACACCGTATTCGTGCGTTAAATGTGAATGGAATCAGCTCAAATGTCAACGTGAGCAAGTCTTTGACCCTAGCTGATTTTTTAGTTTTTAGGAGATATCGATAAAGTCAGTATGGGTCATGGATAGGCTCATATAATATTTTCTTTAGAAATCATATATTTCACATATTTTAGCCATACTTGTGTATTTTATCCAAGTCCAAAACTTGTAAGTGTAACCAATAAAACAGGCAATCATTAAAAAAGCTGAAACTAGATAAACTATAAAACACATACCTGGTCTAGATCCTCCACCATTGCTTTTAGACTTGTACCAAATATCTGCAGACAAAATGGTATGCATAAACATGAAATTATTTTACAGCCTCACTTAGAATACTCTACACTAAAGGTTTGAAATCACATGAATTTCTGATCAATCAACAACACTGTTCAAACAAGACATCTTCAAACAGTTAAAAAGCCTCGTGTGAAATATGAGGACGATCCTCTGAGACAAGGAAAAGATATGGATGGTTGGTTGTTTTGTTGTTTAACGCCGCACTCAGTAATATTGCAGCTGTATAACGGTGGTCTGTAAATAATCGCGTCAGGACCAGACAATCCAGTGATTGACATCATGAGCATCGATCCACACAATTGGGATCGATGACATGCATCAACCAAGTCAGCGAGCCTGACCACCCGATCCCGTTAGTCGCCTCTCGCGACAAGCATAGTCGCCTTTTACGGCAAGCATGGGTTGCTGAAGACCTATTCTACCATGGATCTTCACGAGTCTGGAAGAGATACGGACATGACACTTCTAGTATGATGGAAATAGTCTCAGTCTTAAAATGAATGTTGGGTTTTACGCCGCTTTTAGCAATATTCCAATAACATTATGGCGGGTGACACCAGAAATAGGCTTCACACATTGTACCCATGTCGGGAATCGAACCTGGGTCTTCAGCGCGAAGAGCAAACGCTTTAACCACTAGGCTACCCTAACTGCCCTGTGACTCTTTAAAGATTTAGGGAAATGGAATCGAAATTTTGTGTTCATACACTGACTATTTTTTCAATCTCGCATATAAATCTCTTCATTTATAATCAATGTCATACTCAACTGCATCTTTCTGAGTGAATGAGTGAGTATGGTTTTACGCCGCTTTTAGCAATATTCCAGCAACATCACGGCGGGGGACACCTGAAATAGGCTTCACACATTGTACCCATGTGGGGAATCGAACCTTGGTCTTCGGCGTGACGAGCAAACCTTTAACCACTAGGCTACCCAACCGCCCCACATCTTTCTGAAGTCTGGCTAAACAAGAGAGTACTTGGTGTAACTGTATGTACATATGGCCCTAAAATGTTTAGTAACAACTGTGTGGAAACAAAAATTCAGTGGAGTTTCTTCTCATGTGACAAGTTATTTCACTTACATGGTTTAGAATGAGGTGAAATTGGGTTTAAGGTCACGTCCAAGATTATTGCACTTATGTAGCTAGCTCACTGAGATACCATGCCGCAGTTTAACATAAATATCACATTCAGACACAGTATACTGACTCAGAGCCGACCGGTCCTTGTTTTATCCCCTTAATGCTGAGCGCCGGACAGGGTAACAACAAGTACCATCTTTAAATGTCTTTCGGTATGACGCGTCCGGGGATCAAACCCCGGACCTTCCGCTCTCCCGGCAGACGCTCTACCATGAGACCACGGAGGTGGTGAATTTAGCATGAAGTTGAACGTGACCTTTAACCAATAAATCAAGTGGAAATTGAATTCTAATGATTTTATTGTACTGCAGAAAGTGTTGACAAAATTACCAAGGGACATAACTCTTGCTTGGTTCTAGAAATCTGAACAAAATTTGACTGATATCTGAACAGGATACAGGTTTAAGCATTAAATTAGTCGGCTACATCAACTCTACTGCATGGCAACTTTCTCTCCTCTAAGAGGAGGTACCAACCTGACTGAACAGCTTGACGAGTTGTTTGTTGTTGAGATTATACACGGTCTTGACAACGCCCGGCAACAACAGCTTCATCAACAGATAGACATCACCCTTGTACCCGGCTGAAAGTGACACGAATTGTACGGGAGTGAGTGAGTGAGTTGAAACTGACTGGACACGGGCAATATCACAGCCATATCACAGCGATGACAACATTTATTATCAGGAGTAGGTGAGGTGAAATTGGGTTTAACGTCGCGTCCAAGATTATTGCACTTATATAGCAACGTGCATGCATGTGTGTGTGTGTGTCTGCTTGTACTAGTCCGGACCGATGCCGTTTTATAGTGCTAGCCCACTGAGATACCATGCCGCAGTTTAACATGAATACCCCACTCAGACACAGTATACTGACTCCGAGCCGACCAGACCTTGTTTTAGCCCCTTAATGCCGAGCGCCAGAGAGGGTAACAACAAGTACTATCTTTTAACGTCTTTTGTTATGACGTGTGCGGGGATCGAACCCCGGACCTTCCGCTCTCCGGGCGGACGCTCTACCTCTAGACCACGGAGGCGGTTTTATCAGGAGTAAGTGAGTTGGGTGTAACACAGATTTGAACGTTATTCCAGTTATATCACAGCTTGTTAGCTAATGTGGAAGGAAAGTTGTAAGTGAAGCAGGTCTTACACATTTACCACTTTTGTGAAATCCACATGCAAGGGAATGGTGCTGACAAACCTAGTTATGAACATAACCGCATTATGAACCCACAATCATAGGTTTCTGGCCTGCATAAGGGAAGTAACTCTGCACAGTGAAGTGCAGCTCCACCCGTGACTGGGCCTTCCATGCCACCTATACAGTGAGCAGTGTTAAAAATGTGCACTAGTCCTGTCGACCTTGCCAAACTGCCCAATAGTTAAGGTGTCATAAGGACAAGTAGAAATTAGCCATTTTTGAGGGGTTTGCTATGTGTTGCCATTATAAGGACTAGTGGACCAAACTGTTACAGTAAACTACAGTCATAACGAACTCAAAGGGACCACTAAATTTTGTTTGTTATAACCGTAGTTCATCTTAAGCACATATACAGCATACAGACGGGACCAAAAAACAGTTTGTTGTATCCCCAGTTCGTTATAGTGTGAGTGAGTAGGGGTTTAACGCCGCTCTTAACAGTATTCCAGTTATATCGCGGCGTGTCAGCTTAATGTGGGAGGAAAGCCCGAAGTGATGCAGGTCTCAGACGTTTACCACTTCGGTAAAACCTACAAGCACGGGTATGGTGCTGACAAACCTAGAAACATAATCGGGGCGAACCGGGATTCGAACCCACAATCATAGGTTTCTGGCGTGCCCAAGGGACGCAACTCTGCACAGTGAATCGCGGCGCCTCAGACGACTGGGCCACCCGTGCCCCCCCAGTTCGTTATAAGCATTACAAACAAAGTTTACTGTAGCTTCTATCGCTTGTATTTAGTCCACATCAACTTACTCCCACTGTTTCCCTTCCTTAGGTAGTTGGACACAAGAGCCGTCTTGCCAGTGTAGCTGTTTTCCTCAGCAATATCGGCACAGAGGCGGCGGAACTGTCGGAATGAGTTGTCCCTCTCTGTATCAGCATCCGCGAACTTGGGTGGCACCAGGCCATTAGCATCCAAGTTTGTAGAAGGACCTGTAACCATGGAAACACAGCATTAGAAATTGGCACTTGTCCTATCAACAATCATAGGTTTCGGGCCTGTATAAGGGAAGTAACTCTGCACAGTGAAATGCAATGCCACCCGTGACTGGGCCTTCTGTTCCACCTATACAGTGAGCAGTGTTAAAAATTGGGACTAGTCCTATAGTCCTTGCCAAACTGCCCAATGGTTAAGGTATCATAAGGACTTGTAGACATTTGCCATTATTAAGGGTTTTGCTATGTGTTATCATTATAAGGACAAGTGGACCTAAACTGTTAGTTTCTACCACTGAAATGTAACTAGGTGGTAGTTTATTAAGATAACTCTTATAGTGAGTGAGTGAGTTGGGTATAACACCGCTTTTAACAGTATGTTAATGTGGGAGGAAAGCCCGAAGTGATGCAGGTCTCAGACGTTTACCACTTTGGTGAAACCCACGAGCACGGGTATGGTGCTGACAAACCTAGAAACATAATCAGGCGAACCGGAATTTGAACCCACGATCATAGGTTCCAGGTGTGCCCAAGGGACACAACTCTGCACAGCGAATTGCGGCGCCTTAGACGACTGGGCCACCCGTGCCCCCGGATAACTCTTATAAGTTAAACATTACAATATTTAGACAAATGTCAGACAAGACTTATCTCCTTGTTTAATGGCCAAGCCTCACATATCAGCCGTGACATTTTCATTAATATTTTTGCTTCCTGCACTTGAAATTTTGACGAGCAAGTCCATAAACCAAAAGCCTGATTGATCTTAATACCTAGACTAAAATCTAGTCTCTGAAATGAACATATCGTACATAAAAGAACAGTTGTTTAGTTATCTTAATAAAAATATAATAAAAAGGAGCCCAGTGACTCTCTTCATTTCCTGATACTGCAGTGATCTAGACTTGCCAAACATTATAGACTTGCATGGGCTGTATTTGATATATATTTGTATCAGGGTCTGTAAGACAGACTACTTAATACCATGCAGTGATTAATCCAGGATTAACACAGTTGCAGACTTGGGGCTGAAAATCAGAATCTGGGGAGGTCTTGATAAAACGACATTGATGTGACGCTCACCTGCATCAAAACTGTCTCCCTCCTCCTTTTTCACCTTCGGTGGGGAGAAGGGAAGCTTGCTTTGGGCAGCAGCCTTTTTGGGGGTCTTGCCTTTACCCTTCGCACTCGACTTGGCCAAGAAGTCTGAAATAGAAAGTTCCCACTTGTTTTCAATTGTACAGGATTATGATAAGGTAATTACCCAATGTGTCACTCTGCTTGTGAAATATTTCAAAAATGTAACTTGTTATTTAGATTACTTAGATTTCATAGTCATTTATGTTTTGTTTTTTGTTCAACCTCTCATTCAGCAATATTCCAGCTATACATGTATATGACGGCAGCCTGTGAATAATCAAGTCTGGACCAGACAATCCAGTGAACGTTATTGTCAGCAACAATCTACATCAATGGAGTATAAGGACATGCTATCAACAAAGCTAGGGGCACACTTAGGATTCACATAAACATTCATCTTTCGGCAATGTTTTTGTGAAGCCAGTATAAATATACTATGTGACCTGGACAAACTCATGTTTTGTTGAAGTAATTTGTTTTTGTCTGGGTGACATGTAATATCCTAAGCGCACACTAAGTTAGACATCCTTCTAGCGCCTATTATAAATTGATGGGATTTTTTCATAGAAAATATATTTTTACAAAGCTTTAAGATATAACGATATTTTTCTCTGAAAGAATATCAAATGGTCCCCAGTGAGGTGTTTTTGTTTCAACAGTTTATTGCCAAAAACATGATAAACAGGCCTAAATTTGCGACTTAAATTTCAATTTGTCTACTGTCTAAAATTCAGAGGTAGCCAAATGACTACCATGAAAAATAACCTGTGGCGACTAAATTCTATTGCTACACATATGTAGACACAAAAATACACATGTCTGCTACTAACTGTACTTGCAAATTATTCCTCCTAAAATCAACAATGAGCCGAAATACATAAATATTAATGTAATTAGTATTTTATTTTAGTTGATAGTTTATTGGATAAGCAAGGATATACCTATATAATCTAGTAACATAAATTGCATCATTGTTCGAGTCACAAATCACAAAACTCCACCAATACAATTTCCACTAATATACAATTCCAAGACTAGTGCTATGACTTTTACAGATAATAGTTATTTGATAAAAGATAATTTCAAATACTTTTGGCTACCTACAATATTGGCTTCACTTCTTGATTTTACCACTGGCTACCTGGAAAAAAATACTTGTAGCCATATGGCTCCTTGGTGAAATTTTAAACTTTGAGGCCTGATAAAGCAAAGATTGTCCATCCTATCATCATAATCACTGAATCTACTTCCCAAGCTCACCATCATTTGTAACTTAAAAACCTCACAGTGAGTTTAGTTTTAACACTGCCTTTTACACAGGAAGTACTTCAGTTATAACATGGCACGTCAGCTTCATGTGGCAAGAAAAGCAGGTCGTAGTGGCTTACCTCAGTGGTGAAAGTTATGAACATGGAAATGCTATTGACAAAACACTCATCAAAATGAAGGCTGTTCTGGGATTTCGAACACAATCATGGAATAATGGCACATATAAGGGACGCAACTCTGCACAGCTAAGTGAAGTGTCTTGCGTGACTTAGTCCACCATGCCCAAATGAGTGAGTGAGTTTAACACTGCTTTGAACAATATTCCACTTATATCACGGTGTGTTAGCTTGAGGAAGTAGCGTAGGTCTCTGACATTCACTAACACTTTGGTGAAACCCACGAGCATGGGTATGGTGCTGACAAACCTAGAAACATAATGGTGGAAAGTGGGATTAAACCTACAATCATTAGTTTCTGGATTGCCCAAAGAATGCAACTCTGCACAGCAAATTGTGGTGCTTTAGACTGTGCCACCCACTACATCTTGAAGAATGTACAGTGTACATGACCTTACCATCAATGAGTTTCTGAATGGCATCCTTGTCCTCCTGTTGCAGATCATCAAACCCCTCCACATCATCAGGATCCTCTATCTTCTTCGTTGCTGCTCTGGCCCGGACAAACGTCTCGAAGATGCAGGCAGGATGGTGCCACTGTTTCATGTCACCCCCTTCGTCACTAAACGGGTTTGACACAACCTTTCCAATTCTTAACCCTCCCTTTTCAATTTTCTGTTTGCATTTCTTACAACTTGATGTACCAAGTTTTGCATATCCAACAATATATCTATTTTCTGACATTATGAAGTCAGTACAAAAGAATCTATATTGATTTGAAAAAGAGTTGTAACAGTTAAGATGGATAAGAGATGGCTTATTGCTTGGGAATGTAAAATTGTCAACTGATGCCTGCACACAGAACGAGGCGAGCTGACATGGGTGTATTCTATGATGGAGGTTGCTCTGAATGGCTCTGATTATGAAATTGATCTGACGAGGACTTCTGATCATTCACTCTGTCCTTATCTGAAATATATGAATAGAAATAACATAACATATCAACAAGAAAACTTGATCTATTTAATCATGGCGACTAAAAAAAGAATCAAATTCAATGTTTTGAACTTCATTTTTTTAACATGTTTAAAAACCATATTGAAATAACTATCAAAATGAGGTTGAAATTTACAGCAAATTAAATCGTGTAAAGATTCTATATAGACTTTATTAATATTGTATGACACCCGATTATTTGAATGAAATTGTGAAAAGGGAAGACAAGAAAAAACACAATTTCTTTCTAATAATAATTTGATGTCACACTTCAAATCATAAAAAACTTTCTTGTTTAAGACATTACATACTAAACGGGGTAGAACATTTATTGCACCAGAAATGTATAAAGTTGCACAATCCGAGCCGGCGTCGGCCGTGAAGCCATTGCGATCACCCTTCCGTATCGAACAACAAACTCTTTACTCGTTCGTGTTTATGCATGTCATGTGCATTTGGTCCGAAATAAGACATTAACAAATAACATACATGAATCTAAGAGAACGTTTGACACTGTCGTCCGCCGACATTGCACGCATGTCACAAAGACATGTTAAGACGTTTTGTTTGATTCCTCACCGGAAGGTGCTTACAGCGAAACTGGCACCGCTTATACTTTGCGCGGCATCCTGTAGACAGGAACCTAGTCTACATGGCAACTAAGGGCGTTAACTCTATTCTAGCAGGTGCTTGAGGCGTCCCAGATCAGGAAGCTATATAACAAGACAGTACACTAATGCAAGAAATAGGAATGTTATGACAAAAAGACCTTGACATGTCTCCGCATATGTCCTTTTGACATAATAACGTAGATAAAACACCGGTAACCGGACTTTGGATTATAATCACGTGGTACTTTGTCAGTGCGACACGTCACATGCTTATCTCGACTATCGTTTTGTAACATGTGTACCCAAAAGACCTTAGTCACTGATAGTCAGTACAGCATACTGGTCGCATGTGGCTGCCATCATCTAAGTTTGCTTCACTTGACTGATAATCCAATAACCGACATCAACAATGCAGAGGAACGCTGCCCCAACTAAGCCAGCCGAGGGCTCAACCAAGCACGATTTTACTGATATCAATTTTCGAGGAAACCTTCCCAGAGAGACAATGACAGAAGTTGAGGAGCAGAAAACAGAAATGGACGAAAGCCAGGTTATCAGGATAAGGGGCTGGAGGATCAATAGAGTAATTGCTGTTACTCATCTGAATATATTTCTGTACGCCACATGTTTTTGGATCCAGAATGGAACCCTGCCCTATCTGTCAAAGAAACTTGGAGTAGATCCTGTAATGTTTGGATACCTTCAGACAACTTTCGCAATCGTCCAGTTAGCAGGAGGACCGTTGTTTGGTAGGTTTGGCGATTTGTTTGGTGGCCGAGCTGCTATGACCCTGGCTTTCCTTTCAGCAACCCTTTCATATTTCATACTTGGTATGTCAACAAGCGTTCCTATTTTGTTTTTATCAAGACTTCCATCCCTCTTCATGCATGCGATGCAAGGTGGTCAGATGATTGTGACAGATATCGGAGATGCAAGTCAGAGAGCCGATGCCCTCGGGAAGTTGGGCATGTCTTATGGAGTTGGAATGGTCATTGGTCCACTTATTGGAGGAATCCTGACTAAAACTCTTGGAGAGCAGTTCGCAGCATTTATTGCTAGTGCCGGATCTATGCTAAGTGTTGCACTTGTTCTGTTGTTCGTACCCAGACACACCAAGAAGGCAGAGATACAGACCGACACTTCTGGAAAGAGCATCTTTAATGTCGAGAAAATCTTGCAGTTAATCATGGGCCCAGGAGCCATGTTTTTACTTCTAGTGCGTCTAGCATCAGGTGTTCCTATAGGAGTGTTTCAAAGTATGTTTCAAGTTGTTGCTCTGAATACATTCAAACTGGCGCCTGACCAAAATGGCTATCTTATGTCCTACATTGGGATCACCACGATGATCGTACAAGGGATTGGACTCGGAGTTATAACCAAGAAATTCAGTGAAAATAACATTCTAAAGTGGTCAACCTTCATCCTAGTATGGGCCTACCTACTACTCTCCTTTGTGACAAATGTAAGTGAGTTGTGCCTGGTTTGTCTCCCCTTGGTTGTAGGACTAACGACACAGAACGTCATCATCAGCAGCTCTCTCACAAGAACTGTCGCGGACGCGGACACTGGTGCTATGTTAGGACTCAACATGGCTGTGAACTCTCTAGTGCGGAGTGTGTCACCAACGATTGGAGGTTACATGTTGGAAAATGTTGGCTTTTCATCGTTTGGTTATTTGGGTTTTTTCACCAATACTATCGTCACTCTCATCCTCTTCTGGAAGTTCAGATCTCAAAGTCCTAGTGTATAAACAGTTTGACATTGAGGGTATGTGTGTATGTGTGTATTACCGGTACCATGTCAAAGAATCATGTCAAAAACTTACATATTTTGTCTTGGTGCATAATCTTCATAATTTTTAGCCAAGATAGGAGTAGCCGGTTTCAAATGTATGCTATAGTGTTATGTAATCAAGGTTTTTTTAATTTTAAACCATTTGAATGGTCAAATTGGACATTCTCTTGGTATCAGATATAACCTGTATAAAGTGGGGAAGAAAGGATATTATTTCATAGATAGTTATTACCAAATGATTTTTTTAATTATAAGCATGTTAAATGAAACTTAGAAGTTTGTTTTGCTCATTAAAGACTTAAAAGTTCTTGTGTGCTGGGGGACACGGGTGGCCCAGTCGTCTAAGGCGCTGTGATTCGCTGTGCAGAGTTGCGTCCCTTGGACACTCCAGAAACCAATGATTGTGTGTTCGAATCCCGGTTCGCCCCGATTATGTTTCTAGGTTTGTCAGCACCAAACCCGTGCTCGTGGGTTTCACCGAAGTGGTTAAAGTCTGAGACCTGCATCACTTCGGGCTTTCCTCCCACAGTAAGCTGCGATGCTGTGATATAACTGGAATACTGTTAAAAGTGGCGTTAAACTCAACTCACTCACACTCTTATGTGCTGATTGAATGGCATAATTGAGAATGATGATTGATGATTAATGAAATCATAAGTTAAAAACAATCATAAAAAAAAGTATCATGCATGAAGATTGTAAATGGTATTTATATTTATTTATGGTTTTTGTAGTCTTTTCTTTATGTTTTGTAATATTTGTTGCTGATCTATGTGCTTGCATAATTGCTTTTAAAGAGACAATGTTCTTCACAGATAAGTCAAAATGCAATTTACATCATAGCTTTTTACAAATCAAAGACTAAGATATGAATATTAGTCAGCTTTGATATTTTGCAATGTTTGCAGAACTTAGATGAAGCTTATTCATTTAATAATAATGTTTACGAGTTTAGTTCTTTTCTTGTCTTTTTATGTATAATTTATTACATATCATGTTATACATAAGATCTGGGCTTTATGTAGTGAGTGGCATCTGATGCAACATTTCGTCATGTTTGCCCTGGGGTAATGGTCTTTTAATGAATACTGCTGTCATAGTAAGGCCTTCAAAGACAAATGTGTGGTACCAGTTTCCAACCTACCCTAATATGGCGTCCCGACTCTAAGCCCTTTTCTAGTTTTTCTATAGTTTCCCCATGGCTTTTGTCCTTCACCAGGTAATTGTATGTATTCCACACCACTGCCTCCAGTCATATCTTCCATTTTAAATCAGGCTTTCACTGACGTACTATGGGGATAAAAAAAACCCCATCAAATCATGACCTCCTGCACTATTTTTAGATGAGCAGATATAGGAAGCACACATGTTTATTTTTTCCCTGAGACACGATATTGCTGGAATATTACTGAAAGTGGCGTAAAACTCACTCACTCACTCACTCACACCCGCTCACTCACTCCCCCGCTCGCTCTTGTTGTCTAAGGCGCCGCGATTCGCTGTGCAGAGTTGCGTCCCTTGGGCACGCCAGAAACCTATGATTGTGGGTTCGAATCCTGGTTCGCCCCGATTATGTTTCTAGGTTTGTCAGCACCATACCCGTGCTCGTGGGTTTCACCGAAGAGGTAAACGTCTGAGACCTGCATCACTTCGGGCTTTCCTCCCACATTAAGCTGACACGCCGTGATATAACTGGAATACTCACTCACTCACTCAGTCAGTGCGCAGGCACTTGAGAACCAGCATGGTTGATACAAGGCTAACTGTCTAGAAGTTGTCATCTGAGAAACTAGTTTTGTGTGTGTTTCATACTAATAAAAGCTATTACTTCCAGAAATGTATATTTTCTTAACTCATTATTTTCAAATTTTCTACCATCCTTAGATTTATGTGCATTTTTGTAGGTGGCCCATCTACAACAAAAATGTCATCCTCTAGCAGCCATTTCTTACGTGGCTGGAGTGTTGGCTTTGTGGAACAAAAACACAGGATCGGACACTGTTTAAGAATAAATTGTTTGTTTTGCAAGGTTCATATCAAACTGTTTTACTGCGGTCATGGGCAGAGGGGGTATTCCATTGTGACATATTCAGGTCACATGATACTTTTGGTCTTCCAGCCTTTAGCTATGATTTGATGATGATCTTTAACCTGACACACAGTCATATAGCTGAAATATTGTTCAAAGCAGCATTAAACCCAACTCACTCACTCACACACTGTTTTGATCAGCTCCAAATGATGTTTACGGTGATCATGCTTATGATGATGTTTATTTTATTACTTTCTTTAATCATGATGCTACTTACTCCAACAATACATGTGTATTTATTGCCAAAGATCAAATATAAAACTTCTGTTAGTCACACATTAGCAGTTAGTTTAGTTGACGAGTTATTACCTTGCAGTAGAAGTAGAGTATTACTTTGATGAATGTGAATGTATATGGTACCTGGTAGTATGTGTCACATACGGCAGCTTGGGTTGTATACTCCCCAGGTTGAGAATGAAATCTGAGTGCACACTGATCCAGTGTAATAAAATGTACTAATATGGACTTTTTGGCTGCCATTATTATTATTATTATGATGATGATGATGATGATGATGATGATTTAAAGATCAAAATAAAAAATGGAGCAAAGAGGGTTTGGGTGATCTTGGCTCATTTAGGCTGGTTAGGCTCATCATCAGCTCAGGGCGCTTGCCCCCTCTTTGTCAGAAGGGCTGTATTCCTGGTAGCAAACCCGGGTACTCTCCCGATCTCAGTCAACAGATTGAGAGGTACCAAACCTAAGGCACCATGAACAATGGGGAGTTAGACAACTTGGTACTTGGGGTGCAAGTGTGACATTTCCAAAGTGAGGTCCGCATATTTGCCATGTTTTTCCTCTATTATTATTATTATTATTATTATTATTATTATTATTCCTTCAGGATTATTATTATTCCTCCAGGATTATTATTATAATTATTATTATTCCTCTGGGATAATCCTTCATGTGTTTAGTTGAGATGTAGTTAATCATTGTAGGCAAGGGATATTTAGTCAAGACATGTTCTGACTCTGGTGGCAGTTTGTTATAAAGAACGAGGAAGGATACGGGCCCATCTTGTCTCCCTGCAAATGTCCAATGTTTATATTATGCCCATTATCAGATATGTACAAATGGCTGACTTCTGTCCTTTATTCTTTCCAACGCTTGGAAGTTTTAGTTTTCTAACATCATAAAACGTGTGGCTAAAATGTGCGAAAAAAAAAGGTTTCAAAATACTAAATTCATAACCCAAGACGATGTTTGACCATATGCTTGTGCTGTCTTTGTTTCCAAGGAATAGTAGTTTGGGTCCAAGTCTTGCTTGTGTTCTAATGTTAGAAGGGGGCACAGTTGGCCCAGTCGTCTAAGGCGCCGCGATTTTCTGTGCAGAGTTGCGTCCCTTGGGCACGCCAGAAACCTATGATTGTGGGTTCGAATCCAGGTTCGCCCCGATTATGTTTCTAGGTTTGTCAGCACCATACCTGTGCTCGTGGGTTTCACCGAAGTGGTAAACGCCTGAGACCTGCATCACTTCGGGCTTTCCTCCCACATTAAGCTGACACGCCGTGATATAACTGGAATACTGTTAAAAGCGGCGTTAAACCCAACTCTCTCTCTCTCTCTCTAGGTTTGTCAGCACCATACCCGTGCTCGTGGGTTTCACCGAAGTGGTAAACGTCTAAGACCTGCATCACTTCGGGCTTTCCTCCCACATTAAGCTGACACGCCACGATATAACTGGAATATTGTTAAAAGCGGCGTTAAACCCAACTCACTCACTCTAATGTTAGAAAAACTCGTCCTAAATCCTAAAAATCAGACACAGTTTAATGTTGTCTGCCCAAAACACACATGTAGAAATGAACAGTTGCATTCTACTTCACATGGACAGAGGGGCGGTCGGGTAGCCTAGTGGTTAAGGCGTTCGCTCGTCACGCTGAAGACCTGGGTTCAATTCCCAACATGGGTACAATGTGTGAAGCCCATTTCTGGTGTACCCCGCCATGATGTTGCTGGAATATTGCTTAAAGCGGCGTAAAACCATACTCACTCACTCAATGGACAGATATGTTTCAAAAGGATTTTTGAAAGTTTGGCTCATTTCTTAATCATATTGAGCAGATGTGGGTCAAAATGGGCCCGTATCCTGCTTGTCCTTCGTCAATTTGTTCTGAAGAGGAACTATTTTTACCTCTCTTGTGTGTGTGCATTGTCTATAATCCGAATACCTGGCTGCTTGGCAATTACTGATAATAATATATACAAGATATTGTCTCCATAGTAAGGGTGGTGGGATAGTCTGGTACTTAAGAGGACTTTACACAACAGGCAAACTAGCACAGTACTCCCTATACCCTCTGTCGCTAAGGTTCATATCATGCCAAAAGTATGATGGTTTACTATTCTGGCTGCCATTGTACAAAACAACCTCAGCCCTAAGACTGTCGTAAGTCTATGTTAATGCATGGGCGTTACGATCACCTTAGCGCTAAGATCGCTTTGTACGACAACACCCTGGGTACCGTTGTACAAAACAACCTCAGCCCTAAGACTGTCGTAAGTCTATGTTAATGCATGGGAGTTAGTCACCTTAGCGCTAAGATCGCTTTGTACAACGGCACCCAGGTCTATTGCGTTCATCATCAAACACAAGAAAATGTTTCCTAACTTAGCAACGAAATAGTTAGTATAAGTTTATTTTTGATATTGATATTGACTCGTATCATGTGACACTGCAGGTTGTCATGTTGCATACATCGGTTTGTTAACTGCATAGGTGCAAGGCGACTGCTTGTTGTAAGAGGCGACTAACGGGATCGGGTGGTCAGGCTCGCTGACTCGGTTGATGCATATTATCGTATCCCAATTGCATAGATCGATGCTCATGATATCATTCACTGGATTGTCTGGTCCAGAATCAATTATTTACTATTTATTTATTCATTTGTTTGTTGTTTAACGCCGCACTCAGCAATATTCCAGCTGTATGACCGCGGTCTGTAAATAATCGAGTTTTGACCAGACAATCCAGTGATTGACATCATGAGCATCGATCCACGTGATTGTGATAAGATGACATGCATCAACCAAGTCAGCGAGCCTGACCACTTGATCCCGTTAGTCCCCTTTTACGACAAGCATAGTTACTGACCGCCATTATATATCTTAATATTGTTGAGAGTGGCGTTAACAAACAGACCTCAGTGCGGTTTGTGAAGCCCATTCATTTGTTGGTACCTTGCCACAGGTATGACATTTCACCATTGTAACATGTCATTTTATTTGACATTCAGCAGTACTATTTTAACAAGTAGGTACCGGTAAGCATGATAGGTTTCAAGCAAAAATGCATCAGGATATTGATCTTCGTGTGGCACAGTGGTTGCTAATCATGCAGCTTATTGTT